CTGAAGAAAGATGATGGCATACCTTTATGGCGCAAAGATATCCAGTACCAATTCCTGAAGCTGGTCTTTGAGGACAAAACGCCTGTTTTTACGCGGTATCCTGACGGACAGAAGGGACTGGACTTCGCAGATGTCTACATCAATGCAATGGCCCGGAGCAGCAAGACCAGCAAGATTCTGAAGGATAAATTGCAGAATGACAAACCTGCAGCTATAAATATGGCTATGGTCTGTCTGCTGGTCAACTTTGGTCGCATGAACACCACCCTGAATTGTACGCCTGCAGCTATGCCCTAACACGACTTACCTCCTGCTAATTACTATTGTTTCGGCTTCTAGTCTTCCCCGAAATGCGTGCTCAGCTCCGAACCTACCACTCAATTCCTTCACTACAAGCGCATCAGGATTCCAATGCCTACAAGCAGCTCCAAGATGCTCCTCGTCTCAAGTCCATTCTCAAGGGCGCCTCAGAGGATGTAGACCAACCCAACACCCTGGAAAAGATTAAGCGACAAAATATACCCCGGACCAACCCAGTGAACTTGATTTTTGTTCTGGCGCAGTACGCTCCCAAAGTGTCGGAAACCCATTTCTTTCCCCCGCGAGACTTTTTCGACCTGGTCATGAGATCTACCCTGAGTAGCCAAAGTCGCGCTAGGGCGTTCCTGTGGCTTATGTGGTGGTATCTAGAAAGTGATTTCAGTCGCGAGGCTGCTCTGAACAATCCGTTTGGTCCGGGTGTGGAAGGCGAGGGTGCTGAGGGTCTGCCTTTGAAAGTACCTCCCTTTGATATCCTGACAGAGGAACAAGCCAGCGAAGAGAATTTGGACACACCCGAGGAACAGGAATACGGAGAGTCCAAAAGATTAGAACGCAAGCGTATGTGTCTAGATGTGATTAATGTTGAAAATGGGGGTTTAACTGACGTCTGTTGCAGGCATCCTGGAAGAAGAGGAACCATTACCGCGCATTCCCAAGCGACCCAAAAAAGGTGAGCGCAACATTTTGATAGCTATCATTATACACGAATTCAACACTAACATTTCCTATCTGCAGAATACGGCTTTGACGAAGAATCATTTGCAGGAGACTACTCTGGCATGGGAGGTCGTGGCTCTGCTATGTCCACCCCTCTCCACCCTTCTGCTAAACGTAGCTTGGATGACGATGAGGATGATATGACCCCTGGTCACTCTCGTCCACGTCCTAAACAGGCCAAGCGGGAGTCGTCACTTAATCGAGCCGTGGGCCAACAGCGACTCATCCTGAAAACAAGGATGGAGCATACTCCTGACGCTTCCCCCGCTCCTCCGGGCCCCAACCATCCGGTCCTTAACCGCTTTATTGCTGAGCCTTCGCTATCTTCAGCACCCACTATGCGTCGCATGCGGCCACTCACACAGCACCAGATAGCCGTTGAGCAAAATCGTCGACAGAGGATTGACTATCTGCTGGCTAAACGTAAATCAAACGCATATCGCGTTCTCCGTGCGAAACGAGAGAGCGAGATTCCATTCGCGCGCTACGGTCGCTTGCTTCAGGGTCTGCCCGAGGGCTATGACACAGACGACGAAGAAACATCGTGGGGTAAGGGCGGTCTCTTCCCGAACCCGGAAGAAGAGGATGATTTTGGAGAATGCGCAAGCGTCTTTCTCTCTGTAGTGCGAAAAGCTGCCCGCCGACTTGATCGCTGGGATTACACCGAAGCGAATGGTCCGAAAAAGGATCGAAAGAGGGAGCGCGAAGAGCGATACCAGGCCAAAGCGGCCTTGGAAGCTGATTTGCGAAGCTCCAACAACCGATCCCGGCCACGTCCTCGCCCTAGTGCTGCTGCTAAGCGCAAGTCTACGGGAATCACGGGCACTCCTGGCACTACCAAAAAAGCCACGGCTTCTCATGCCAAGGGCAGTCACGGCCATCCTGATGGTTTGGGTGCTGTGCCATCAGCTATGGGTACGCCAACCTGGGACCCGGAGCACGGACCTGATGACTACGTGGAGGGGGAGCTGGACGATCTCGACCGCGAACTTCTTGGCGAAGTGTCTGGCGAAGAAGATGATGGAGGTGCCCCTCTCCGAGCCGATGAGGAAGGGGATTTCTCTGACGACCAGGACGACGAAGATGACGTGGACGGTGACGAAAATTCCTCTACATATGAAGGCGTCAATGGTTACGCACGACATGAAGCCTCGTCCCCTGCCCCTAGAGGTCTAGCTGGCCCACGCGGGGAAGGGTATGGAGACGACGTGATGGAAGACTAATAGGGTTGGCGTTTTGTTTTTGAAATCTTGTGTATCACGATCTACTGTTTCTTTTGTCTCTGCTGTTAGGCGTATCATTCCCTTTCGGAATGGTTGTATTTTCAAGTCAATTTCATCCAAGCCCTTAACCTAAGTGGCTAGTATTACGGAGTACTTTGATGTGCACTGCATGTGATAATCCCCCTCTTTCTCCCCTTTTTATACATCTGTCCTCTTCCATATTGAATTGTTTCTTTACATAGCTCTACAATCTCAACCATTTAATACCTGCTCCAGAAATAAGAAAGTCCTCGATCGTACGAGTGACGGGTGTCCGGTTGCAGAGTGGATACAAAGCTGCAGAGTGGTGTGGTGGCCAACGGCACGGAGCGGATTCCTAAGGCACAAATCTGTTGACTTCATCTTTCGTACTCTTTTTCTTTCTCCCATCAATTAACCTCTCATTTAATCTTGAGATAAATAGCAAGGTTTACCCTTGCTGCCCAATTGCTCCGAGGAAGTTTATATCCCTCTTTTTCAGGTAAGCGTCATGTCCCGAGCTCCCCAATCTTTTTCTCCTTTCCCCATATTCCGCCTCTGACACATTACCAGATGCGCACAAAGCATCTTGTACAATATATTACAGCTCTACCTACGAGATAAGGATACCAATTACGTGAGACAAATAAAATCCAGAGTTTGCTTTTTGTTGCGACAAGCCGAAACTCTGTTCTATTTTCCCGAATCCAACAGAAGTCGAGCCTTGAAACAGACCCAGAACCCATTTACCCATCCATTATGACCGAACAACCTCGCATCTTGCGTCCACGCCCGAGACGACCATTCGAAATAACGCCCGCTTCCACGGAGTCATCCGGACCCCCGACACCCGCCGAGTCAACGGGCACCGAATACCTGAACCCGAACGCAGACACTACGTCGAACTCGACGGGCGTGAGCCGCACAGGATCGGTGATGAACCTGACCGCGTCGACGCTGTATGGGATCTACTCGCCCACGGCATTTGACGGGTTCCGCGACGAGTCCAGTCCCTGGGGCACGGAAGCTAATAGTCCAGCGGCAGAGTTCCCGCCCGAGCCCTTGCAGCGCGCAGCAGAGAAATCGGCCATCGAGCCACGACGGAAGGCGCTGCGCAGGACTCGGTCTCGGTTGAGTCACGGGTTGTTCCGAGGCGTGATCTTACCACAGGCGTTGAGCAGCGTGCTGCTCTTTGGCTTTGGTATTGCTTATGGAGTTATCACGATTCATCTCCATGATAACCATTGGATTACGCCTGTTAAGCTGGAGAATGTTCATTACTACGATTCGGGGCTCTACCTGGGCTTCTGGGGGTTAGCTGGTATGGCTCTGGGTAATCTGCTTCCTTGGTTGGATGGCTGGCGTGAGGACAAGCTTGAGAAGTCTGATCCGAAGCTTGCGAATACCGATGAGGAAGAGAACGAGGATCGCACCCCGTCTTGGGTTACTGTCGCTCGCAGTGTTGGAGCGTTTGTCGGAATTGCATTTGCTATGGTAAGTTGATCGGTCTTGTTTTTTTCACGTCTTCCTCTCTTTTTTACGGGACAATGCTGATATCTCGTTTTCTTTTTACAGCGAAAACTCCCTTGGCAATCTACTACACAAGCATCTTTGACACTCGCGCTCGCGAACCCTGTTCTCTGGTACCTGATTGACCGTACCACAACTGGCTTCGTCCTCTCGACCACCGTTGGCTTGTCCGGCATGGCAGCAGTTCTTGGTCTCAAGCCAGAGGTTGTGCCCGCGTCGACCGGCCCGTCATTCGGCGCTAGTCTTCTGAATGGAACAGGACTGGAGAATCTGCTGGGTGCAGGCATCACACAGGAAAGCATTGCGGTTGGCACTTGGATTGCCAGTGTCATTTTCTGCGCGTGCGTGTGCTTTGGAAACGTTGGCCGTCAGCTTAGCACCGGAGCTGGCGTCAGAAATGTCACGAAGCCATAAGGTTTGAAAAGCGCATGGGTTTTCTCGGTTTAGGGCTGAGGACTCGAGCTTCACTGGGGAACGGCCTAATACGAGGGCATGAAACGTTTTCATGTATATTGAAATAATTTATGGCTCTAATAAAGAATTGTATTAGAAATCAACTCGAAGTTGAGTTGCACGAGGTTTGATAATTAAAAAAGTAGGATATTTAAATATTCTCAAGGCTTACGATAATTACAAGCACGAATGAAGAGTAAATTTTCAATAATATTTGTTATTTTTGATCGGTATGTAGAATCAATCATTGCAATCCCTACTACATGACCGAAGTCAGCAGGCACTGCACCCAAGATCGACACCTTTGCCAGTTGGCACTTGGTCTCCATTCTCTATACGATTTCCGTACTTCATCAGACAAGTCTTCGTAGGAACGCTTTTTGAGTAGAATGTGAGTTTTGCGTTGTTCATGAAGAAGAAAAAAAGAAGGAGAAGACGGCGGCTGTGAGAAATCTCTTATATATCCCAAATCACGTGTCACGCTAAGACCTTCTGCATCATTCTGGTCTCCTATTGGCTGATCTCACAGTGGGGTGGTCGATCACGTAATGCAGCTTTTTGCTATCAAACCCCTCCGCCGTAATCGGTCCGACCCCGCGAGTCATCCAATTTCTGCTTTTCCTTCTGTTAGTCATTATACCCTCTTCACTTGGTATGTCATTGAATTACGCCTATTAGTTTCAATTGGTTGCATTTGGGAATTTTCTAACAGATCTAGTGTTGACCGTCGGATCCATCATGTCTCAACAAAAGTCCGGTATGTCTAGTTCCCCGGACTATGATATTATCTATTTCAAGCAGTTCAAGATCAATTCTAATATTTTTTTTCTTGACATTGAATAGCTATCATTTCCGTCTATGACAAGACTGGTTTGCTTGACCTGGCCAAGGGCCTGGTCAAGCAGGAAGTCCGTCTTCTCGCGTCTGGCGGTACTGCTAAGATGATTCGTGAGGCTGGATTCCCCGTCGAGTGAGTCACCTCTGTCGTCCATGATACAACAAAACAGAAGAAGTATCAGGGACCAATACACATCACAGACACTAACAATTGTTCCCAGGGATGTCTCCGCCATCACCCACGCCCCCGAGATGCTTGGTGGTCGTGTCAAGACCCTCCACCCCGCCGTGCACGGTGGTATCCTCGCCCGTGATATCGAGTCTGACGAGAAGGATCTCGCCGAGCAGAAGATCTCCAAGGTCGATTATGTCGTCTGCAACTTGTACCCCTTCAAGGAGACCGTCGCCAAGGTCAACGTCACCATCGATGAGGCCGTGGAGGAGATCGATATTGGTGGAGTGACTCTGCTCCGCGCTGCGGCCAAGAACCACAAGCGTGTGACCATCCTGTCAGACCCCCGCGATTACTCCGACTTCCTCAAGGAGCTCGAGGCCGGCGAGATCAACGACGCTAGCCGCAAGCAGTACGCCCTCAAGGCGTTCGAGCAGACTGCCGATTACGACTCTGCTATCTCAGGCTTCTTCCGCAAGGAGTATGCCGGCAACGGTCTGCAGCAGATCTCGCTGCGCTACGGTACCAACCCCCACCAGAAGCCCGCCTCTGCCTACATGGCTCAGGGCCAGCTGCCCTTCAAGGTCCTCAACGGATCTCCTGGCTACGTTAACTTGCTCGATGCCCTGAACGCCTGGCCCCTGGTCAAGGAACTCAAGCAAGCCCTTGGCTTCCCCGCCGCTGCCAGCTTCAAGCACGTTTCCCCCGCCGGTGCCGCTATCGGTGTGCCCCTGAACGAGAAGGAGCGCAAGGTGTACATGGTTGATGATATCAAGGATATCGAAACCTCCGGTCTGGCTCAGGCTTACGCCCGTGCCCGTGGTGCCGACCGCATGTCCAGCTTCGGTGACATTCTAGCCCTCAGTGACATCGTCGATGTCCCCACAGCCAAGATCATCTCACGTGAGGTGTCCGACGGTGTCATCGCCGCCGGCTACGAGCCCGAGGCTCTGGCCATCCTCTCCAAGAAGAAGGGCGGCAAGTACCTTGTCCTCCAGATGGACGAGGATTACACCCCCGCCCCCGAGGAAACCCGCACCCTGTACGGTGTCCAGCTGACCCAGCACCGCAACGATGTTGTCATCTCCCCCAGCAAGACCTTCAACACCGTCATCACCCCCAAGAACACCACCTCCCTTCCTGAGGCTGCTCTCCGTGATCTGACTGTCGCCACCATTGCCCTCAAGTACACTCAGTCCAACTCCGTCTGCTACGCCCTGAACGGCCAGATCATCGGCCTGGGCGCTGGCCAGCAGAGCCGTATCCACTGCACCCGTCTAGCCGGTGACAAGGCTGACAACTGGTGGATGCGCTTCCACGACCGCGTCATCGGCATCAAGTGGAAGCAAGGCACCAAGCGTGCTGACAAGTCCAACGCCATCGATTTGCTCTGCTCGGGTCAGACCCCCGTACCGATGCCGAGACTGCCGAGTACGAGCGTGTCTTCGAGGAGGTCCCCGCTCCTTTCACCCAGGAGGAGCGTGAGTCTTGGCTCGAGAAGCTCAGCGAGGTCGCTGTCTCATCCGATGCCTTCGTAAGTAATCCACTATCCTCTCTTCCTTGATAAATACTAATAGTCTTCCCTAGTTCCCCTTCATCGACAATGTCTTCCGTGCCGCTCGCTCAGGCGTCAAGTACATTGCCGCTCCCACTGGCAGCCAGAATGATACCCCGGTCTTCGAGACTGCTGAGAAGCTGGGCATCACCTTCATCGAGCAGGGCACCCGTCTCTTCCACCACTAGATTGCTCCAGTGGTTGTCGTTTTTCGGTGTCTTTCCCCTATTCCCCTTTACCTTCTCGTAAAAAAAAAAAGATGCCATCTATGTGTTTTCCACTGTGATGGATATTCGATATGATGATGATGTCAGGTTTTTCCTTTATGATTTAGATAAAATTATACACATATTTTGAGTAGCATCTTAAATCTCCAATCCCTCCATACCCCAATGATTACCGAGAAATGTCCCTTTTGGTTTCCCTCCGACCTCTCGGCCTACTAATGTGCCGCATTTAGGGTTCAAGACTGGTGCTTGTTTTCCTTCTCATTCACGAAAGATCCTAAGTCTGAACAAATTTTACATACTCCCCAATTGGATCTCTCAACATCTCGCCATGTTCAGCCCAAAATGGGCCGTTGTCACATCGATGGATTTTGTGATGGATTTCCCCGTCGGAGTTCCGCTGTGACGAGGGGGTACACATCAAACTAGCGGCCTCCTGAGATAACAAAACCAAGCAAAGACCAAGCAAAGACCAAGCAATGACCCACAGCATTGGCATAATAAGCTACGGAAATTACGATGGTTGCCTTCCGTATCAGCCAGACTTACCGACTGTGCTCTTGAGCTATTCCACACAGAGATATCCAAGTCAACATCCCCGCCACTAGGAAGATTGAGCTCTAGTGTCGGACGTTGAGCCCGGACTTATTGCCTCAACGCCATGCAGATACTACGGACTATGTCCAATCAGGTTTGTTCGACTTAATTGGTGTTTTTTTCGCCATCGCAGATGGGGAAATTAGGGTTACAATCATACCATTGTTAGCTGCCCCCGCGTGTATATCAAGGGGGAAATCCCCCCCAGCAGGGATGACCGGGAATTATCACATCTCTAGTGCTTCTCGAGATGTTCGTACGTCAGGTTTGCGTTGCTCTGGCGATCGCTGCTCTTTCTGGAGCCGTTCCTGCACCAGTGAAGCATGTTTTGCATGAAAAGCGAAGCGAGCATGTAGATTGGGTGAAAGGTGAGCGCATCAAGCGCGATTCCGTGCTGCCTGTGCGCATTGGTCTTACTCAGAATAATTTGGAGAAGGGTGAGGAGTATCTCATGGCTGTGTAAGTTGTTGATATGTGTTCGAGAGTTCATGGTCTGCGTCCCAGTCACTAATACTTGTACAGTTCTGACCCGAGCTCTCCCAAATATGGGCAGTACTGGTCTGCAGAGGAAGTTCATGATATGTTCGCTCCTTCAGAGGATACTGTTCACACTGTTCGTCGGTGGCTTGAATCCTCTGGCATTCATGAGTCCCGAATTGTACACTCCGACAACAAAGGATGGTTGGCTTTTGATGCCTATGTACAGGAAGTAGAGGATTTGTTCAAGGCCGAGTTCTATGAACATGAACACGCCAGCACTTCCAGCATGAAGATTGGCTGCGAGGAGTAAGTCTTCTTGCTGTTTTCTGAATTACTTTGGACTCTTTCACTAACAATACTAGATATCATGTCCCCGAGCATATCCAGGCGCACATTGACTATATTACTCCTGGAGTCAAGCTTAGCCCCATCGTCAAGAAGAGTACCAAGCAGAAGCGAATGTCACACTTGGTCCAATTCAAGGGCTCAGTGGAAGCCGATGACATTTTCAAATCCGCTGTTATCTCCGAGAAGGCGAAGTCACTTCCTGCGGACCTCCAGAAATGCGGAAGTGAGATGACGCCGGCCTGCATCAAGGCTTTGTACAATATCCCAGATGCTACCAAGGCACACAAGGGCAACTCGCTTGGTCTCTACGAGCAGGGTGACTACTTTGCCAAGTCGGATCTCGATCTTTACTATAAAGCATATGCTCCTTGGGTTCCCCAGGGCACTTACCCCATTCCTGCCTTGATTGATGGAGCCAACTTCTCGGTGCCCGATTACAGCCCTATGAACCAGGGTGAATCGGACATTGACATCGACATGGCGTGAGTCCAACTTTCCTTTACTGGCTGTTTCTCTGTTCTTTGCTAACGACGCCAGTTATTCGCTTATCTACCCCCAGTCCGTGACTCTTTACCAGGTTGATGACCAGCTTTATGAACCTGAAGAGGTTGCGACCACCAACCTGTTCAACACTTTCCTTGACGCTCTCGATGGTGTAAGTCATATTATCTTGGAGATCAAATGTACATTGCTAATAAGCCCAGTCTTACTGCACGTACAGTGCCTTCGGTGAAACGGGTAACAACCCTGATATCGATCCAGTCTATCCCAACCCGCGCCCTGGTGGTTACAAAGGTAAGGTACCCTTTTCGCCAACCAGACTGATCTGCTCGCTCACACAAAACAAAACAGGCAAGCTTCAATGCGGTGTATACAAGCCTACAAGCGTCATCAGCGCCTCCTACGGACAAGCCGAAGCCGATCTCCCCGTCGCTTACACCAAGCGCCAATGCACTGAGTTCCTGAAGCTCGGCCTGCAGGGTCACTCCATTCTCTTCGCCTCTGGCGACTATGGCGTCGCCTCCTTCCACGGCGACGGATCCGCAAATGGATGCTTGGGACCCGAGGGAAAGATCTTCAACCCCCAGTATCCCTCTAACTGTCCCTACGTGACCTCTGTCGGAGGCACCATGCTCTACGCCGACCAGACAGTCGAGGATGCTGAGAGCGTCATGCACGCTAACTTGGGTGGCACTGCCGCTAACTTCAGCAGTGCAGGCGGCTTCTCCAACTACTTCCCGCAGCCTCTGTACCAGAGAAGGGCTGTAGAGAAGTACTTTAAGACTGCCCAGCTTTCTTACCCGCATTACTCTGAGTTGGAGGTCGACTTTAACAAGACAAAGGGTCTCTTCAACCGCATTGGCCGTGCTTATCCCGATGTGGCGGCTAACGGCGCCATGTTCCCTGCTTACACCGGTGGAGCCTTGCATCACTTCTACGGCTCTAGCTTGGCATCGCCACTGTTTGCTTCGGTCCTGACTTTGGTAAGTCGAGACTTGGGATTGCTTTGTTTACTGTACTAACGGATCTTCTGGTAGATTAACGAGGAACGTCTTGCCAAAGGCAAGGGCCCTATTGGCTTCGTAAACCCCGTGCTTTATGCACACCCCGAGGTCCTTAATGATATTACCAACGGCACCAGTGCTGGATGTAATTCGGATGGCTTCAGTGCTATTCCAGGGTGAGTTCACACAATCTTCTACTTTCGCTGTGGGATTTTTACTGACATGCCATGCAGATGGGACCCGGCTACCGGTTTGGGCACACCTAACTATCCCAAGTTGAAGAAGCTTTTCTTGTCTCTGCCTTAAATGAATACGGGTGGAGTTTGTGTGCCTAGGCAGACTTGTATACCAGGTCTTATCAAGATCGCCTTGCTAACATCAAGTATTGAGTCACTCTCAGAAGCTGTTACAGTTCTCTTTATCTCTCGTGTTCATATTGCGCTTCTTTTATTGTAGATCTATATTCAATGCGAGATGATTTTCTACAGTAATCTTGGATCACAAATCACAAGTGCACAATGAGACGCTTGAAGGGATTGTTTGTATAGTCCTATCTCTCTCCTTTAGACAGATGCCCCCAGGATCCTTAGACAAATTAAGCTCACTTCTGAAAGAAATGCTCCCATTGGCATTATAGACGACTGTGATTTTTGACAAAACCTGTTGTGTCGCACTTGTTCGCCAAATACAGACATGCCACCATACTCATGATTTCAGAACAGTTGTAAGGGTATAGATTTTTCATTATTTTCACAATGACAAGGCTTGTCAGAAATCATAGAGTCCCGTGTTATCATGTGTTTGTGCCATAATGCCCCAACTATTGGACTGCCACCTTGGTCCCCCAGCTAGCTAGAGCCAGTTGCCATTTTGATTGAATTCATATTCTCTGAGTAATATGTCACTTTGCTCTTATCTATCGAGTCGGCCTGATTTACTATTACTTATGCTTAGCTTTGCTCCTTTGTGGTTGAAAATCGAGGCGATGGGTGGCCGCCTTTGAACTATACGCCAGGGTGGTCCGTGCGCGAAGATTTGTATAGCTTCAAAAGATCTATAAATTCGGGATATAAATTTGCAAACAACCCCGTTTCTCCTCGTCGCGGTCTTCAATTGACCGTAAATTGCGTGTAGCTACATCAGGCAGGCGCGAATGACTGAATTGCCATTGAAAATGATACCCAGGCGGTAGCATAGAAACGGCAAAGTTGCTGAGCGCTCCTGCTCCAGACTTCGATCGGAGAGTAATATGTAAACAGAACTTCGACTTACCACAGCTACATACACCTGCGCAAGCTCTTAAGCACCGTGGCCATGTATCCCACTGAGCTTCCTGTGAGTTCAAAGCTTTCAAAATTGAAGCTTGGAAGAGTGATTAACAAGAGTACACACATAGATCAGCGATGCACCCATCGATCGCGGAGCAACCCCGGGTTCCCCAGCAACCGACACCTACCAGCTGTTCCTGGCCCTCTACCATCGAGGCGAGCTCTCTCTTGGCGACTACCGAAAGCGCCTCGGCTTCTCAGCCTACCACTGGTCGATTCTCGTCTTTGATACGAAACACCATCGCTACCACGCCTACGACGTGACCGATGGATCCTCCCCGGACCCAATTATTCGACGTGACCTCAATCCCGACTTCCAATGGACCTACCGCGTCAAGAACAACGTTCATCCGGAGTCGTGCGACTCTCTTCTGATCAGAATGGCAATTGGCGAAGTCAGCGATGGAATCGGTCCGGAGACTATCAAGATGCTCCTTCAGTCTGTTCAGTTGCCGGTTAAGAGTGCTTATCCTCCCCAAAACTGCGTCAACTGGATCAGGGCTGTTCTGCACAAGCTTCGATTCCATGGATATGCCCGAGACTTGCACAGCATTGAGATGACTATTGATCGTGCTCTTGCTTATGCTGATCTTCGTATGTCGGATCCGGACAATTCAGTCGCCCTTGTCGATCACCTTGGGAATGAGATGGTGCAAGCTAGTTGCTTGAAGTGAGATACCTTGAAGGAATGTGGGATGTGTCTAGCTGTGGATCTTGAAGCAATATGTCTTGCTGCTGAATCTTGAAGGGTTGTTTCTTGCTGGAGTCTCTGGTGTCGGTGCCTTGGGCGTTACTTGACTATCAGCTGTTTGTTAATTTGAACGTGACGAATTTTCTCTTGAATCGATTCTCTTTCAGGGTTTCTTTTCCATCTTGATTTCCTGTTGACGGTGCGAGACGATCCACTACGGCTGGATATATATTACCGAAACGATCACGTGGCGTAAGTTTTTTTACATAACAATAGATGGGCAACTCTACACAAGACAAAGAGGCTAGAGATTGATGTAGTGATTGATCTTGCCTGGAAATTTGGGTTCTAGCTTTGATTTCAGCCCAACAGCTGCTTGTTTGATGTTTCATTCCGTTCATTGACGTGCAGTGCTCGTTTGCTTGCATGCTGAGCATTAAGAGGGTCACATGCTGTAGATAATGTATCAGATAACTACAGAGCAGCTAGCTACAAGGTATATATATTCAGCAGCTGACCGCTCAATTTGGGTGAATCTCAACAAATCTCCGTGGGCGCAACTTCAACACATAGCACATTCCAACGACCGAAACTCAAAAAAGCCTCGATGTTAACATATGAGTCACGAGGAACCTTGCATCAGAGTCAGTAATAGCGAATCCGGACGAGTTCATCCGACCAGCCCCGTAGACATGTGCCGCATAGCCAGCAATCCACATCTAACCTCGATCTAGCTATGAACTAAGCCCGGAAACCGCGAAGTTCCGAGATGGGGTCTTTCGCACATGTCGATCACCCGTAAGTGATAGGGCAGTGATAGCCGATATGAAGAAAGCAGGGTCTCACGTGGATAACACAGCATAAAGTGTGTGCACGATCCTCGGAACTCGGAACGGAGTTTGTCTGACTTTGGACGGATGGACTTAATGCCGAAGGTCGGAGGAATCTGTGTGAGCTACTTCCTAAATGGGTAAGGGAGGCATTGGTCAGAGCTGATGCATAGTTGCATAGTTTTATGTTTATGTTTCGGCGAGTTATTATTAATATGAAGAGTGCATAAACTATGTACTGATACGGTGATACCTAGGTCATCAGCCTCAAGAGACACCTCGCCTCTTTCGGACAGCAGAGAATAATCTTTTGTCGTCTATTCTTCCTCAAGATTAGCTCATCATGCAATGAACTGTTCATGTTTCTACCCGATCAGGCAATTGAGATTCCACCCAAAGCGGTATTTTCGCAATCCCCACCCCCAGATATTGAAGCTCTCGGCCAATAGTCAACTTGGCCGAAGCAAAAGTCCTGATGTCATACCTGTCAAGTGCGGTGGATATCGGAAGATTAACAGCCAAAAGCCGAGGATCCAATGTCGATTATTGGGCGTTCACTAAAGTGCCCGACAACCAGTCATGGCGTTGTTGGCCGATGACTATTGCATTATTTATCTCCGCCTAGACCCTGAATTCTAAATCCAATTGTTCTGGACTGTGGCTGGATCTTGCCATTGACCTCATCGTTTCCTAATTAGGTTATTTTCTCATACTGATTTGATATGGAAGATAGAAGATTGTAGAATATCTTCGACTGCAAGAGAAGCCTGAATAGTCAGCCTAATAGTCATCAATCAGTTGAGACATTTCGTATTCGGTAAGGCTACGAAGTGGAGATTTAATGTTTCGAAACGGTAAGCCCTGCGAGGGCGCGCACATGGGCATTTTGAGTGCTTAGGTCATCTCTACGCACGGGGCAACTTTTGGAACCTTGGAAGCCTTGGAGGCTCGGTGATATCCGCATGGGTCTTACTAATATGCCAAGATCCAGATCCGGTATTTCCAAAACAGGACGACTCTTTTGAAGTCCGTGACGTATGCCACGCTATCGTCAAGTATGCGGTAAGGAATGTACAATGGTACCTGTATCGTGAAGAGAAAGACACCTAATCTATCCTCCTTGCAGGGCGCAGTGTCAGGCTTCTCTCTCTTTTGAGCACATTATTCCATGTGGAGACCAATGAGATCGGTCAATGCCCCCTTGTGCTCCACTTGTGGAATGAACAAGACAGAACGTACGGAGTACATCGTACGGCGGTAGCACGCGAGGAGTGATGGGCTCATCCAGGGATGTTAGAATTATGCTGCCTCATGGCCTCATGAGGATCTGTGCATGCCAATAGTTAGTCGGCATTCGCTTAGGTGTTCCCCACAACACAGCCTACTCATGCATGGGTTCCTGGTCAATCTCGAATTTCTGGGGAATGCTAGTCTGTCAATCCTGCCAAGGCTGGGCACTGGTCGTATTCGTCTAAGGAGTATGAAAGATGATTTAGGGGAGTACAGGCGAGGGGTAAGTTGTAAATGGAAAAGTGCATACGGGGAGATACGCGTAAAGTAGTTCCTCCTAATGCGGCTTGGTTTCCAAGGTTCCAAGAGCCTCTCCATGCTGACATGCCAACTCACACCTAGATAGGATTTCGACACGTAGACCAAAGTCTCAGCTGAGGTTTGTGTCTGTGTTTAGCAGGTTGACATGATGTGATTTGACATGATGTGATTGGAAATCGCCATGCTGAAGTAATCCAAAGCTGATTTCCAAGGGTCAAACCTAGAACCTTAAAGATATCAGTAATCAACTTAACCTTGAAAGGAAATATGTAATGGATTTAGGAATTAAGGAAAAAAAAAAAAAAAAACGGAGCAGGTGCGACCGATTTTCCGACCGGTGTTTATCCTCCGATGCGGACCACGGCACGGCGAATTGGTCATCCGGGAGCCGTGAGTCATTGCACAGAATTGAAAGAGTTACGAGTATACATTGTATATATACATTGGATAATATGTACTTTATATATTGTATTTAAGTATCTAAATCACGTCTAACATAGCGGTGAAGTAGAAATCCTATGAGCCTTGGGAAAAGAACCTTGGAAAGCGAACAGTGCATTATTCATAACTCGGGCTCGGCGTATACTCTTTTTTTTTCTCCATTTTATTTCCGGTGGATCTCTAAGCATCCGTAAAATCCGTTTCGGGTCGATCGGGCTAAAAAAAAAAAAAAAAAAAAAGGTAGCCTTGTGAGATTATAATATAAACCTCTTCCTGGAAATCTTTCTGATATCTCATCTACTTCTTATTCCCGTTACACTATTCATCTTGTCCCCCTGGATACAAAAGAACCTGATATATCACCTATCTATACTTTCATGTATAACAAAGTTGATCTACTTTTCTTATCACTTCTATCACACCGCCCCACGACGATCCACTGTGACTGGATGACGCCTAATTGAGTCACTAGCCAAAAGAGTCATACCCAATAATCAAAAAGCTCCTTTTGGCCCACCATGGACTCTTCTTCTTCTCCAACCTCCAGCTCCTCTCCCTACTTTGATTCTCTCCTCCGTCGCCGCCAACAGAAGAAAATGAGCATCACGCAAACATACTATCTCGCCCACACTGCCCGGAAGAAGCTCACCCGTGAAGCTTCCCGGGCAGATCACGACCTGCGCCTGCTCGTTGGTCATGCCAACCTCCTCGACTCCTTGATGTACGACCTCGCCGATGCCGAGCGTGAACAAGAACGCTGGTTCAACCAGACCGTCCATGGAGCCACCAAGGCTTCAGCTCCCTCTGGCCAACATATTCAATGGGCTTCGACCGTGGTTGAAGAGCCTGAGGAAGACTGGGATCCGGAGGATGTGTCCGATCTGGACTCCGAAGTTAGCGACAGCGACGACTCCGACTACGACGAGACCGAATTCGTCATTAACACTCCTGTCCGCCGCCGCGCCCCATCACCCGTGGCTCACTTCCACGAGGACCTACTAGAGGAGGACGACGAAGGCGACGACACAGATTCGGACTTTGAGTACGACGATGCAGAGGAGCTGACCTTGACTCGCTCATCCTCGCGACAGTCACCGCCTGAACTCCTTTCTGATTCGGATGGAGAGTCCGAGGACGAGTTGACACCACCGTCCCCGCCTCAACCAACACTGGAAACATTCGATGAAAAGGAATCCGCCACTACGGCTATCGCCTTGGCGGGTTCTGATCAACCCCATCTCTTTGAGCAAGGGTATTTTGGTGCACAAGAGCAGACCATCATTGAGGCTTATTAAACTCGATCAAACTCCATTACGACCCCGACTACACTCTTCCTCTCTTTCTGCCTTGTGTACCATTATCCAGCGCTACATACGTGATACCCTGATGCTTCTTATGACGATATTCTTCAAGCGAGCCTATATTTGACATCTCCCATCTTCTAATTCTTTTTGGCGTTGTTTTTTTTTGGTCGCATTTGCGAATCACCATTTTGGGCATTTCATTACTTTCATGTCATATGGGCATTTACTATATATTCCACTCATCTCTGGCTATCTGTGATAGCGATCCAACATTCAGCTCTCCCTCCAAAGGTCGAGACTGTGCATTGGAGTGAAACATCGGGGGAAGACATTGTGGTCCCAACCGATGTACAAAGTGTCTACTTTCCCCTACAGAAAATCAATCCAATAAAAAAAATTTTAATCCTCAACATTTCCAATATCTTAGTGTTGTACTCCATACTCCGTACATAGTACAGTAAATAGTGCCAAATCCGGCAGAATAAACTAAGACATGTGACCCGTCGATCCGCGGCCCGAGCGCGCAAACTCCGTTTCCAGCCAAATGGGAGTGCAGCCCGCCAGCACGCCATGATCCTCACCGCCGGATAAGATAGATAGATCAGACCCAAGGGCAGATGGGGCGAGATCATCGCGGTTAGGTCGGCATAGGATGCCGCTACGGGTTGCTAGTCAGGTGAAGGGTTTTACTAGTTTCATTCTTCAAGACGTGTTCGGACACTCCGCGAAAAGTGGATAATGGAAGGGGATGGTTTTTTTCTTTGTCGCCTCTTTTTCCTTCGAGTGGATGTCTTGGCTTTGTTAGAGGTAAGGTAGGGGCGGGATGCGTATTGAGCTAGTGGGTGAAAATCTTGAGGCTGGGGGGGCTGAGGTGTTTTGGGTATGTTTTGCGATGCTGCCCTGGATTGGTTATATGATTGGTGCAATGGATCTTTCCCTATCTGGCACTACTGTCCGCTTATCTGAGCAGACCCTGAATTATGAAGTTAGTCATCTTATATGCATAATCATCCAGGTGGGTCATTTTACTGTGGCTTGCTATGGAGTATCATCTGACTGGAACTCCGGATGATCTGTACGGAGTATGTTGTATGTTCTTTATCACGTATTCGTATTGCTTCAACTCAGTGCTATCCAATATACAGCGTAAGGAGTATACTGCTGACTTGACATACATAGTTGACTGAGGTTCTTACTCTTCTCTTGTCTCCAATAACCCTCGCTTCGGCGTTTGGGAAACATCATATTGATGCTATTGTAGATCGAACTCTGCTCGGACTGTGCTCGCATTATTAGTCTATTCCAAGAGATCATTAACAGCAGCTAAAATACTTAGTTTTGAGTCTGGAAACTTCTCCATTTCTTGCTTCCGAATAAGACTTGAATGTATACTTACATTTGGGAAGGTAGCATAATTTCTTTTTTGACATTCCTGCCTTAGCTTGTTTCCCATATAAAGATACCATGTAGAGATAATATGCCGTTTAATGGGGTTTCATGTGAAAAGTTCACAAGTGACGCTCGATTGTTCTCTTGTACGGAGTATACAACATAGGGTTGTGTTAATCCGTGGATCCGAGCTGTATTATATAAGCCACCGTTAAGGTTCCGAGCCGCTATCGATAAGTGATCGCCCTGAACCTGACCCCTCGCTGCATCCGTCACTCAGCTTGAGCAAGATGACGCGTGACCATTAAACGTCCTACTTTCCATTCAAGCTATCCCAAAACATGATACCAAAACCACGCTTGGTCCTGTGGAACCCTCAACAACCCGGTGACCGCTGATACGTCCTACCTCTCGTCATTCACGTCAACCCGGCCCAGGAAAACCAACAGACCCATTATACCCCTGTTCAATTTGCATTATCGCCGAAGATCAATTACACAATGTCTACACCGAATTCCCCTAGACGCTCATCTGAGTCTGCAGGGCGGCCCGAATCTAGAGATCATACGATCTCAGCCGCGGGGTCCGGCCACACCCGTAGCCTTTCCGGTGAGGTCCAGCCTAGAAGCCACCGGAGATCAATCCAATTTAGCGTCGATTCTGCAGAGTCGCAGCTGCCCACACGCTCATCGAGCTTCAAGGAAAAGCGACTGTCATATGGGGATACCCCGACGAGGGAATTAGAAGAAAAGGAAAAAAGGGAACGGGAACACAAAGCTGCCCAATCAAATAGGGGGCCCTCCCCCCCACCGCCGAAGTATGTTCTCCCCAAACACTCTCTGTGTGTGATGGCGTGTACTGATATATAACAGAACCTACGAGCGCGGTGTTTCCTTCGACACTTTCGACAATTTCGATGCTACCGATTTCTCCCTCACATTAAACTACAAACACAAAGGTTACCAGAGCACACGTCGTAGCAGGACCTTTTTGTGTGGAACCGACCAGAACGACTACTCCGAGTTTGCCCTCGAATGGCTCATTGATGAGCTGGTGGATGACGGGGACGAGATCGTCTGTCTTCGAGCGGTGGAAAAGGACTCGCGCATAGCTAGCGATGTCGGGATCGAGGAGCGAAAGTACCGCGAGGAGGCCGAAAAGCTGTTTGAGCAGGTGATCCAAAAGAACAGCCAGGATGAGAAAGCTATCAGCCTGGTTCTGGAACTTGCTGTGGGCAAGGTCGAGAGCATCATCCAACGCATGGTAACGTTTTCAAAATCCCCATTGCTGCCTCCCACCAATCTAACACCCCGTAGATCCGTATATACGAACCTGCAATGCTTGTAGTCGGTACACGAGGACGCAACTTGAAAGGAGTGCACAGTCTGCTCCCAGGCTCCGTCTCCAAATACTGCCTCCAGCAATCACCCATCCCTGTCATAGTCGTTCGGCCTTCACCAAAGCGCGAAAAGAAGAAGAAAAAGCGCCGTGCAGACCCCACACGGCGCAGCTACAACCATATCCTGGAAATGAGCGAGCAGCGCGGCAGTCAGATATTCGGCGCCTGCCCCAGCACCGATAGCAGCACTTCGAAGCTACCGGATGAGGAGGCTGCGGTGGCAGAGGCACTTGGACTTCCCGCATCATACTCGAATGCGGCCTCCCGCAGTTCTTTATCGGTCTCAGACCGCAGCAGCATCAGTATCAGCCACGACGACTCCGACACGAATTACCCCCGGAACTCATTGGATGCAATGGTTATGTCGAGTCCGGGTATCGGAAGTCCAGCAGATAGCTCTCAAGAGAGCGTGGCTACTGGCAGTAGTATCCAGCCATCTCCCTCAATTGACAGGACTGTGGCCTCGCCTCCTCCATTTGATCTAGACTCTCCTGTATCAGACTCTTCTACCGAGGCCGACAAGCTAGATGAAGCGAACGAGCCTGTCGATTCAATCCAAAATCCCGTGTCTATCCCGATGATTGAAGTGTCAGATAACGATCATAAAAACGACAGTACGAAGACATCTGGATCCTGAAAGTATGGCATGTCCCCTTTATCGAACAGATTCAACGTCAAGTACCACGTCGGTCCACGACGGAACTGACAGTTATACCCCCTGCTCAATACCCTCATCACTATTATTCTTCGACATCTTTTGGCTATATGTATTTCTCTCCCCTCTTTTGTCTACAGTGAGAATGAACTCACTAAATGAATGCACATCCATCCACGTTCATGGATGTCTAGACCTTGATTGCTTGAAACATCCCCTGTAACTAATTATTTACTCGTAGCCATTATTCTTGCCCAGGTATCGTAGTATATCCAAGTAAGTCCAGCGCTACTTAAGCATGTGATGTATGCTATACTAAGTCGATAATGATAGTAGATTTGGACATAGATCTATAATAAAAGAAGTTATCATTTCTTATAAAGGAAGACATTCAGTGGCCAGAGGGCGAAGCAGTCATTCAATCACATTAAAGCCGAGTGGTGCTCCGGGTATTGAGAAGAAAAAAGGACAAGGACAAGAGAGGAGCAAAGCAAAAGCAAGGAGAATATGCAAAGCACGACGGAGAAAGAGGAAAAGCAAAGAGCCCTAGAAACATCCGCAACTCCTTCATCACTCTCAAGATCAATCTCTTCGTCATTGGCACTTTGGCAGTAAAACCCCCTACAGAATTGCAATTGAAAGACAAGAGTATGAAATAGAAGTGATTCAGCAAGTCCAATTGCAAGCAAAGTCCTAGTCTCAACCACACCTCCACACTCATCTCTCAATTGACCGACGAAAAAAAAAAAAAGAAACAAGAAGCAAGAATAAGAATCGAAAAAGATGTCAAGATTGTACACTATGAAGAAGGTCTCTTTTTTTCGAATAAGTTCAAAAAAGCGAGACCAGCGTGATAAAAGCGTGAAAAAAAGAGATCCTAGGGGGAAAACCGACCAGTCGGAAGATGCAAAGGACTGCGATTCAAAACAAAGGCGCATGATTTTCCTCACGGGAAAACAAGATGGAAATGACGAAAATGAAGAAATCTTTTTGTGAACCAAGAAAATGGAAAACGTTGATCATTAACTCCTAAGGACTTTCTCTATGCTGTGGGTTCCTCGTCCTTGATAGACGGGGTTTTTGAGGGACGACGCTCGGCGGCCGCGGGCTGGGACTTGGTGAGAACCGGGGAAGTAGGGTTTGACGGTGGCGAGGTGGCCATGTTATCCCGATCTTCAAGGGCAGCAAGCGCGCTAGGGAGCGTATTAGCATGGGGAGCTCCGCAGGGGGAAAACGTTGGGAAATGCGTACCTGAAAGCGTTCATAGAGGAGTTGTCCTCCTTCTTGCTGCCGGTAGGAGTGCCGGTGCGGCTGCTGGCGGCGCTGTCGTCGCTACCACGGACAAGGCTACCGCCGGGACCGAGGTTCTTGCGGCCGCTGTTGGTGCGCGAGCCGAGAAGGCTGGACGGACCAAATGACATGGGCTGGTTGGTGTTGCGAGTCGCACGCAGACGGCGGAGATCGTCGCTGCCAACCTTGCTAGAGGCATAATCGGGGGAGGGGCCTGGTTTCCATATCCGAACCCGCGGGCGTCACCGCGACCCATAGGGATGCGGCCACCGCCTCCGCGGTTGCTGGACTGGCGTTGGCGCTCAGCTTCAGCTGCTTGCTGGGCACGGGCAGCCTGTTTCAAGAGTTAGAGATGAGACATGGTGGATCATGGTAAGGAAGGTCACTTACAGCCTCGCGAATCTCAACAATGGTCTGAGGACCCTTGTCGGAATCCTTGGAATTCCAGCGTGCGGCACGCAGATCAATAATATCCTGGAAACCATGTTAGTTTTCATTCCCTTAACTTCACGAGACGAAGAGCTAGTGAGAAGCTTACCAGAAGCATGAAGCGAAGACGACTGGGCAGGTTGGGTGTCTCAATCATCATGTTAATACGAGCAAAGTAGGCGTCCATCATGGCAGGTCCTTTTTCAGAGGCGTCGAGACTGGCACCAATGGTGCGCAGCAGACTGGTCAAACTCTCGACCTCAGCCTCATCGGGAATACCCTCGTAGTCCACAAGCTTCTTAACACACTCGTGCATGATACGCTCTGTGAGCATGCCGAGCTTGTAAAGTTCACCAATGAACTTGACGAGACCGAGACCACGACGCTTAGCAGCAGCAGCGATGTAGTATTCGTCAGACATCATTTGAATCTGCGGTCGACTATTATTAGTACAGGGGGAAAATCTATGTTTTGGATGTAGATCGACATACCTCTTCAGTTTCGCCCTCGGGCTTTTCGGGCAGGTTGGTCTTCCAGCCACGCTCGAACTCTTCTTGACAGCGGTTGAGCAGGTACTTGCGGAACAGACTTCCACCAGCAACAACGGTGCCATTTCTGTCACGGATGTTCTCATCCTTGATTTCTGGGCTCATGCTTTCCAGCATACTCTTGCAGAACTTGGCGTACATGGGGGCCCAGTGAGCTTCATCCGTAGCCTTCTCGAATGTAAGTTGGATGACCTGACGCAGTGTACGGCCGTCGGATTCGTCCTTGGATTGGGAGACAATATCGAGGATCTGACCAGAGATACGGTCGAACTTCTCCGGTGTCATCTTGTTAAGAGCAGCCTTGACCTTGCGCTGAACGACATCCGGTGCCAAGTAGCCATCGCCACCAGGGGCGGGACCAGCACCGGCGGCTTGTCCAACACTGCGGGGCTTCCAGCCAGTCGCAGAGGTTTGGATTGCCTTCAGATCCATGCCAGCGGTAAGAGGCATCGACTTGTCTTGCGCGCCGCTGTCCTGTCGGCCACCGTGCTTCTTGCTCTGTCGGCTATCGGTGCGGGGACCCTTGCTCGAGTTGCCACGAGGAGGAACACCGGAAGAAGTTGAGCGAATACTGCCAATAGGGCCCATACCACCAGGGCCGCCCCGTGGGAATCCGAAGCCGGACGCGTTGCGGCTGCCCATTGGTCCGCTGCCCATGGGGGGCATTTGACCGGGTCGTGGGGCATTGAAGCTACCCATGGTGTTGGCTCCGCTGAAGGGAGTGCCCATGGCGCTGTTGCGAGAGCCAGCACGGCTACCCATGCTAGGAGTGCGGGCAGACTGGGGACGGGAAGAGTCGGTGGGATCACCGACGGTGTCCCGCAGACGGGCGTCCCAGTCCACAGAGATCTTATCTTTGAATGCAGCCTGGAACTGTAGCAGGAAGTCCCGGTCGTAGTGGAATTTGCGGCCTTCGGGCGCAACGGCGTTCATAGTGGAGTCGGGGGCTTTGATGGACGGTGGGTAAGTGACCTTGCTGAGGTCTTTCAAGAACTTGGCATTCTGCAGAGACTTCATGCCTGCGGTTGCTTGCAAAGGCTCAGTGGGCTTGGGGGTATCAAGCTTGAGGCCAGCCGGCTTCTTGGGGATAGCGCTGGCGGGCTTGGCTGGCGGGCCCATCTCAGATGAAACGGGGGTAGCAGCACCGCTGTCACCAGGCGTGGAAGACTCGGTGGCACTGTACCCACCCTTCTTGAGCGAAGCGAACAAATCCTTGCTGTCGTCCTGAGCAGCTGATTCGCCGCTACGAGCGGCGTTCTCGCGGGCAATCTCGCGAGCCTCAGCCTCGGCTTCGGCCTTCTTCATGTTGGCCTCATAGTTCTCAAGCTCCTCGCGTTCCTTGCGTTTCTGTTCCTCCAGCTTAGCTTTCTTTGCACGGTTGTAGTCTTCCTCTGCGGCGCGCTCCTTGGCTTCAATTTCGGCCATTTCACGCTCGATGGCATCATAATCGGGCTCATCATCCACGGGAGCGGGAGCGGGAGCAGGAGTTTTCTTGGGCTCTTCAGCAGGGGCAGCTTCCTTCGATGCTTCAACAGCCTCGGCCTTCTTGGGCTCCTCAACAGGTGCAGCCTTATCCTTGATGCTAAGTTCTTCGACGGCAGCCCGGGCAGACTCGGTATCATCCTTCTTAACATCGGTCGAGACGGCCTCAGTGGCCTTGCGAGAGGCCTCATCAGCCAGACGCTGCTTCTGGGCAGCCTCGTCCTGCTGGATCTTCATGCGAACGGCATCCTTCAGTTCCTGCTTCTTCTCCTCGTCGGTCTTGGTGGCATTCGTCTTGCTATCGGTACGAGTGTGCTCAGACGCGCTGGCAGTGCGAGGAGGGGGAGTGGATGTGGGAGGAGGAGTGAACTTGACGGGTGAAGGAGTGGCACGAGCAGGGGATGCGGGGTTCTTTTCGAAGGTCTTAACTGAGCCGCTGTTAGGGTCCTTGATGATGATCGGGCTCTTCTTGGCTGATGGGATAATGAAGTGTGGCTTGGGAGCGGGGCTGTTGGATGCGCGGCTGCCAGTGTGGGTGTGGCTAGCAACAGCAGGACCAGTAGGTGCAGCTCCTTGGCCGAGGCTCGAACCTGGACGATCAGTAGATACCTGGGAGGGTGTACGTGAAAGCGGCGTTGCCTGGGGGATGGGGTTCGGGAATTGCTGTCCCATGTACTGAGGATTGTAGGGCATGCCAGCAGCACGAGGCTGAGGCGAGGGCGGTGCCATGTAGTAACCAGCGGCCGGGTTGTAATAACCAGCATAGTTTGGATCGTAAGCGTTCGGGAAAGACTGTTGAAATTTAACCATTGTTAGAATCTGTTCGAACTGACCACTTTCAGGTGCAAGATCCACGGGGTACTCGGGAGAGTATGTAGGGTTGTCTTTGCGCCTCCAAGAGCTGGCAAGATTCCTTTGTGGACGACGCCAAGGAGCCTGGGAAGAACGAGAAGGGGGGGATCTCACAGCTTGGGGGCCCATGTGTTGACCGTAACCGTAGGGTTGCTGAGGCATCTGGGGGTGTGCCATTGGAACTTGGTTCATCTGAGGAGTAGTAGGGTTAACGTTGGCCAGGGCAGGGCTGCGGTTGGCTTGGTGAGGCGAGTTAGGGTAGGGAGCCAACGGACGGCCCTGGTTCGAGGCGTGGAACTGAGGACCCATGTTAGGACCAGCTCGCGGCTGGTTGGGGGTCTGTCGGAAACCGGGGTTGGGAGAGTAAGGCATCTGCTGTCCCTGGTAGCCGGGCTGGGAGTATCCGCGACCGCGGCCACCCTGGTAGCCTGAACGTCCGGGAGCGTTGCCCATGTGGTTGCTCATATCGCTGTGAGTGGACTGGGAGGACTCGCGACGCAAGTGCTGAGAAGCTTGTGCAATAGAAGGCTGTGAGATGGAACGCCATGTGTTAGCAAAAATAAGTTTCGAAGCAATGACTTTGGAAAAAGTCGCGGACAGGTGTGCCGTCACTCCGTATACATTTGTACACCATGACCACCCAAGAGAGAAGGATTTGAAGAAAGGAAACTTACGTCAACAGCTTCTCCGAAGCTACCAAAGTTCGGCACATTTCCTTGCGCTTGGTAAGTCGATGGAGGCGGACGACCGCCGCTGGAGGCTGGCTGAGGAATAGGCGAAGGAGAAGTCTGAGGAGACGTCACGCGAGGGTTGGTCGAAGGGGCACCAAGTCCAGCCTGGGCCTGGTTGGAGGCAGGCACAGCAGGAGCACCCATGTTGGGAGAACTTTGCTGGAATCCGAACTGAAGACTGTTGGGCCGACTGGCTGGGCCACCGCCGTTGGGCATGTAGCCAGAGGTACCGCTCGAGGTGATGGTTACAGACGGTTTGCGAGAGTGATCGCCGGAGGAAGCGGCCGGAGCAGTAGGTGCTCCATTGACAATGGTCACGCCAGAGGCAGACTGTTGAGATTGATTTTGCATGGGTTTGCCGTTCACAGATACGGAGCTCGACTGCCCATGTTGCGCTGAACCGCCCACGGTGACGGGTGCGGCGGTAGAGTCCGTCGCGGATTTCTTAGTTGCGTTGGCGTAAGATCTGGCTGGCGCCTGGGTGGCAGCCAGGGGGGGTAGAGGATGCGGGCTGGGTCGAAGCGGCGGGAGTAGCGGTGCTTTGTCCTTGGTTGCCCGACTGAGAAGGGTTCGAGCTCATTAGACAGGTTGTACGTCTAAACGCGCGAAGAGGGCGAAGGAGAAGGTTCGAGGGAAAAAAAAAGACGAAGGTGATGTCAGTACGCGGAGGCGTAACAAGGCCACATCCAAACCTAACTGCACAGGTTAGAGGGATGGAATGAAAAAAGAAAGGAAACAAGTTTCCAAATACACAGAAGACCAGGTACGCAGCAAGGGCAGCGTTTTGGTCGACAGTGTTATGTTTTTAAAAGGGCTTGATTTAAAGGGTAGATGGATGGTGGGAGGGAAAAAATTCAAGGGAAAAAAAATATTCGGGTTTGTGGAAAACGGGCAGAACGAGAGAGTTGCATTTTCCGACCAACGTACCTTTGAATGTGCTTTGGGGATGGATTCTCTAGAGAATCTCTGGAAAACAATGAAATTAAAGAAATTTCCGAAAGAGAAGTGAGAGTAAAATAGAAAGGTTGAGAAGTTGTCGACCTACGCCACTCACATGTTACAAAGAATCTACATTAGATGTACCTGGTTGAATGGGCGTATTGAAGTACATAGATTGTACAGAGTACATGAAGTCTCAATTATGAAAATAAAATAGCTATGACTCTTTACTATTCTATTATTATGACTCTTTTAAGGACTCTTTCAGTATTCTTTATTCATCTGGAACCTGATAGACCCAAATGCCCCCAATAGGGCCCCATCGTCCCCGTTTGCCACTATGGTGACCCCATACTACGTACATCTATATCTACTACTCTATACAAAAATCTATACATGATGCTTATAAGAAATCCCAATACGCTGGATTCTCGATAAATGAATACCTTATGTCCTTGTTCTTCTAAATACACATCACTTCAATAATACTCAATAGTAGGGATCGAGGTACAGCGATATCAAATACTTCCCCATCTCTCCATCCTTGCAGTGCATCTGCGTGAACCTATTTTATGCAAGGCTATTCCTCCGACCGGAGGGATTCGACTTGACATACTTGGCTGTTCTCACTTATATTTAACCCGGCATTCAATTCAACTTTGGCTTGGATGTTATTTAGCACTATCTCCCTTTGTCCTCCCATTCCTAGCAAGAGCAAGTTGAAGTTCTATTTTGGCCTTTTCTTGTTCTACTCTAACCCCCCCCTGTTGAAATCGAAATCTATCCGCAGGACTCAAGATCGGTCATACCCAGTTGCGCGCGACCGGGCGATCTCATCGACAGCCCGTGCCGCGAAGTCAGTACCAGATGAACCCGAAGAATCTTGCTCGTTGCCAAACCAACCAGATGCCCATCCACCACTAGTCTTTCGTTCCGCTCGACGTCCTAGATCCTCATCATCAACTACCTCGAAGGAGTTTTCACTGCGGTTCTTACGTAACGGCACGCCGTAGGCAAGGTCATCAGCCTCAAGCCCACCCCGAGGGTTACTCTGTTCCTCTTGGGCCAGGGTTGACCGGAGGTGATCTAGCAGCTCTCGCTGCGAGGAAATAAAGTGAGCCTTCTCCGCTCCAGACATCGACTGCATCTGGCGCTGAAGGAGATTGCCACTGGCTGAAAGCTCCTCTTCCCGGGCTTCCCGAGACTTTCCAGATGTAACCGAGCCAACAGCGGCACTGAGAACAGAATACCAATCATTTGCGTTGGCGGATGCCCCGGCTGCTCCTGCTCCTGCTCCTGCAATGGGGAGGTTGAACCGCGATAGCAGTGACTGCGCGTAGGAAGCGGCACCTGGTTGAGGGGGTGTCGTGGGGCGCTGCGGGGGTAGACCCAAAACTTTCTGCCGGATCAAATCGATGGCCTGGTAGAAGTATTGAAGACCCAGTGCCTTAGCTCGCTCATGAGTGTGGCCGATCATTTCTTCGATCTCCCGCTCATGGTGTGTCAAGAACGGGTCCACATAGTCTTGGTACAGTAAGCGAGCCCCTTGCGTTTGGGGAAGGACTAGATAACACATGAAACCGAGGCGGATCCAGCTGTAGAATGGGAACCTGGATAATTATCAAGTCACGATTAGCTTGCGATCGTTTTGAGCGGAACGAGTCGAACTATACCATCCGATGATAAATACTGTCCAGGATTCAGCCAGCAAAATGACTGATAGCACCACCCAGTACATCAGCCATGGTGCGAGTTGTGAGGGGTCAGAGGAACGGAGAGCCTTGTAGGAAGCAAAGACGGGGAAGAAGATCGTGATGACCGAGCTAGATAGATCTGCGTTAGCCTGCGGGGCCATTTCCGAGGCGTATGATTTGAACTTACGACAACAAGTCCGCAAAGATACCAAACATGATGAGAGGCCTGAGTGAATTGAAGTGAGAAAAGAAATCACTGGGGATTTTTAGTCTTCAGTCAGCCCCGCTGATCTGAGACGAACACCTAAGTGGGACAAAACCAAAAGGAGAGAACAAGGCAACAAAGATAGTTCAGGGGTAGATGATGATTGAAAACAGAAATAGAACAGTAGGACCTGTAAAATAGTCCAGAGTAGACATAAATCACTTCACCATAACCAACAGAGACCCGTGGACGTGACCTACATTTTCTCAATCAATGTGTCTTGACGTCACGCGAGACACTTTGCTTAAGTGCATTGTTAATGATTCAGTCATTTGTAAACAATGTGCACCTTGATATCTTGGATATCTCCTGGATACTTTATCTTGATTTTTGATTTATTGAAGACTTCAGCTGCGAATGTGGTATGAGAGGTACAAGCCCGACAAGGTACATGTCGCTAACGGAGTGGCCCAATCACCCGAGATGCCTTAACTAGTTCCCTTCTATGGCCCGTTCCTCTTTCTCTTCCAAGATTTCCTTTTCCTTCATGAGTTCTTCTATTCCATCCTATACAAATCATTGTTAACCCTGTGAATTTTGCATTATTATTTCCCCGCTTCAACTATCCCGGGACCTCGGAACTCAAACCATGTGTATCGCATTGATATCAACTGCCCACCCGGAATACTCATTGATCATAATCAATAACAGAGATGTGAGCATTCCCATTCTGACTGGGATCCCAAGCTTATCATATCTAGGAATTCCTCCATCGCCCCACGTCATCGCCAGACTGGTGGCCAGAGCCAGCCTCACATGTCCTCGGCTCACGAGACCTAGCCCGATCTACACATGGCACTTGGATGGGGGTCACCAAACATGGAAAGGTGGCAGTTCTTACCAACTACCGTGAGGACTCGACCAGCGCAGCCATCGGAGTCTACAGCCGAGGCGTCATTGTCAACAGCTGGTTGGTTGGATCCACCGACAAGTCAGAGGATACCAGGGAGTTTGTACAAGGCATTGTGGCGAGTCCAGAAGCAAAGCAGGTTGGGGGTTTCAGTTTGGTGTGTGGACATATCAATGAGCCCTTGGCCATTGTCTCCAACCGTTCCGTAGACATGGATCAGATCACCTGGGTGGCAACGGAGAAGAACCAGACGCGTGGACTTAGCAACACAAGCTTTGATGACAGAACTTGGCCAAAGATTATCGATGGAGAGCGGCTGATGGAGGCTGCTATTGCCGAGCATGTGCAACAGGGAGACGAGGACGAGGATGCATTGATTGATCGTCTGCTGAAAGTTCTCGAATCTGATACCCTGCCACGACTGTCAGAGGAGAATGCCACAATTGAGACGTACATTCATCATCTGCGCAAGAGCATCTTTGTTCCTCTCATCGGTGCCGCCAATGATCGTGATCGAGCTGCCGAGAGAACCGCTGCAGCTCAGGTAGAGGATGAGACCAACGCGCCAACAACTGGACCCCCCGATCAAAGTTATACCTGCGGGTCATATGGGACACAGAAGCAAACTATTCTCCTGGCACGACCGGATGGACGGGTGCGATACTTTGAAAGAACGCTGTATGACAGTGATGCAAAGGCTGTGCCGGAGGGACAAGGCGATCATTCATTTGAATTCAACATCACAGAGTAGCTTCTTATAGGCTTTCATACGCTTAGACCCTCTAATTGATTCATGGACGCATATTCCTTGAGAACCACAGACTCAAACCCCTAGCTTCACGTGACAGGCTCGCTCCCGCTGACCGCCTGTGGCTCTCCAATCACAGCCCGAGCAATCCGTTGATGAAACGAGTAGGCGGTAGTTTTCTGCACAAAAGAGCAGTTATATAAAACTTTAAGGATGTTCTTTCGCCCTTCGGGGCATATGGTCAAATGAAAATATACAGAGAAGATTAGCATGGCCCCTGCACTAAGGATGACACGCTCAATCAAAGAGAAGCTACCTATTTTTTTTTTCCTTCCATGCCTTCTATTAGGGTTATAGGGTGGACCTTTCCTTACCATATTTTTTTAATATTACGCTTTTGGGAAGTCACGTGCACCTACCGACGGGTGTTCGAAGCCCGTGTGACGCGAAAACGCAATTCGAATCCAAAAACGGCGGGTGCTCTCGATAGCTTCAATTCTGTACCTTCTCGTTTCGCGTATAATAAAAAAAACGATGGTTAAATGGATCTCCGAGGATTTGTATATTGTCCTTAAATGGACCGCTCAAAGTGATCAAGAAAAGGTATGTGCCCTTCCGAGACATGATTATCTTACAGACATATACTGACTTAATTTTTTGTCTTTTTTTTCCCGCCTTACCGGGCCGAATTGACCGAGATACGGTGTAACGGGTTTACAGTATCAATTCCTGTTGATAAAAGGTTGAATCGGAGTACGAAACAGGTCATCGACGAATCTGATTTTATATACAGAGTAGGTATGTTGTAGATGCACAAACCCAGAGGGATGTCTTCTCAGGACACCGCCCTTGTATTCTGCCCGTGCCGTGCCGGTTAACTGGGCTTTGATCACATCGCCAGAATGGTATAGTACAACAGGTTAGAACTTTAATGATTTGATGTATCACACATTGAGGCCTCGATTCAAGTATATGGCCCATCGCGTTGGCATAAGAGTCTCTAATTTTTATGTCATTCACCCCTGAAAATATATAGAGGAACCACTCAAAGAAAAACCTGTTCGGATCATAACTTAGATCCGATCGAAATGAAACGGATAACTAGGTTCTGAGGCTGCCTTAGCAAAGGAGCTTCCGAGTTCATTTTGGCAAATTATGCCGGGGATCTAACGGTTATCAACCTAAAGGCCACATCGTGTTTCATCTTGAGCATCTCTCATTTTCCTTTTTCTTTGGCGCATCGGCCACTACACCCAAGACGGGTTAGTCGATCCCGCAAAGTGTATCAGAACAATTTCCTTTTAATTACCTTGTCTCTCTGAGAGACCTCGTCTAGACTAACCCAGGAAGCTGAACTTTGCGTTTAATGATCTCATCTCCACATATCGTCAGATCATGGAGCCAGGCGTTAACTGGCAATCTCCGATAGATTGGGTTGGATAACATTCGATTTTGTGTTGTACCCAACCTACACTTCTAGGCCATGCTCACTCTTGATCTAGTGGCTTTTGAGCAATTTGGCTAGTTATCCGGTCACCTCGGTGGAGAGATCCACCGTCTAGAAGAGACATCTGCTGCAGCTGTCAAGGCTAGCGTTTCCCGGTATCCCGGTCATAATTAAGCCGAATGATCTTCCGAGTGGCTGTAGGAAAGGTCTCGAATGTTGAACCCACTCTGTTTAGGATTGCCTGTTAGTCCACACCAAGCGCCATTTGACGCCTCCAAGCCACAGCATGGCTATATAACAGACGACCTCCGCAGGGTTGTCTCTTGCTTCGTACATCACATTCATTCATTCACTTTCGTTCAGACTTCAAGACTGGTTTCTTGATTTCCCTTCTTTTCCTTCTATCACATTCTTTACCGTCAAACTCGACACTCACTCTCTTTTCCATTTCACTATGAAGTTCACCAACATTGTTCTGGCTGCCAGCGCCGCTACCGTGGCCTGCGCCTACCCCCGAGGACGGGAGGTTATTCCCACCAAGCAGACCGCTGAGGTCAAGAAGCGTGCCAATGGATTCACTTGGTTCGGTGTCAGCGAGTCCGGTGCCGAGTTCGGTCCCGGTAACACTCCCGGTACACTGGACAAGGATTACACCTGGCCCAAGACCTCCCAGATCAAGATTCTGAGAGATGCCGGAATGAACATCTTCCGTGTCCCGTTCTTGATGGAGCGCCTGGTGCCCTCCAGCATGACTGGCTCTCCGGATGCGACTTACATGGCCGCCCTCAAGTCTGTACGTGATATGTCTGTGTTACTGATTCTGCTCCAAGGTCTAATAGTTCTCCGTTCAATAGACTGTCAAGTTCATCACCGACAGCGGTGCCTATGCCGTTCTTGATCCTCACAACTACGGAAGATAGTAAGTGCATCGAAACTAGACCTTCCCGCCGTTATCGGTATGATTTTAACACTCCATCTTTAGCGGTGGCAACATCATCACCTCGACCTCCGATTTCAAGGCCTTCTGGAAGACCGTTGCTAAGGAATTCGCCTCCAACGAGAAGGTCGTCTTCGACACCAGTGAGCAGCCGTCCTATAGTTAACCTCACATCATCGAACCATCCACTAACACCGTTCTCCCCAGACAACGAGTACCACGATCTCGACCAGACCCTTGTCCTGGACCTGAACCAGGCCGCCATCGATGCTATCCGTGCCGCTGGTGCCACCAGCCAGTACATCTTCGTCGAAGGCAATTCCTGGAGCGGTGCCCACTCCTGGACCGCCAACAACGACAACCTGAAGGCCCTCACTGACTCCGAGGACAAGATCGTCTACGAGATGCACCAGTACCTTGACGGCGACAGCTCTGGCACCTCCGAGTCCTGCGTCAGCGCCACCATCGGCAAGGAACGTCTCGAGTCCGCCACCGCCTGGTTGCAGAAGAACCACAAGAAGGGCTTCATCGGCGAGTTCGCCGGCGGTGTCAACAGTGTCTGCGAGTCCGCCGTCGACGGCATGCTTTCCTACATGTCCGACAACAGCGACGTCTGGATGGGTGCTGAGTGGTGGGCTGCCGGTCCCTGGTGGGGATCTTACATGTACAGCTTGGAGCCTGCTGATGGCCCAGCTTACGCCACCTACCTGCCCATCCTCGAGAAGTACTTCGTTGACGGAACTGCCTCCCCCCAACCTCGTCTTCTACTTCCTCCACCAAGACCGCCGCTAAGACCACCACTGCTCAGACCTCCACCAAGACCACTGCCCAGACCACCACCACCGCCGACGTCAAGGTCACCACCACCGCCAACCCCAACGTCCAGGTCCCCAGCTCCACTTCCAGCTCGACCACCACGGCTGCCGCTCAGACTACTACCGTCGCCGCCGTTGCTCCCATCTCCACCACTACCATCGTGAAGGTTCCCACCACCACCACTGCCGCCCCGACTACCCTCGTCACCGCTACCACCAACGCTCAGGTACCTACTGGCTGCCCCTCCACTGGATCCGTTGCTAAGCAATACTACCAGTGCGGTGGTATCAACTGGACTGGCCCCACTGTTTGCGAGACTGGCACCATCTGCCGCGAGTGGAACCCCTACTACTTCCAGTGCATCAGCCCCAACTAAGGGATTCATCCCGTATCGACCAAGGCAAAAGGGGAGATTTTATTCACAGGGTGGTTTGGTGTGAGCGTTTTCTTTCAGGGTTGATGTTGTCTATACTGCTTCTTATACATTACTTTCTTCTCGATTCAGTTCGATTATACTATACAAAATTCTACTTGAATGTGTTGCAAATACCGTGTATTCCTTTTCAGCCTTGTAGTTACTTAGAAACTGTCGCTTCTGCATACTTTTTTGGTAATTGAGTCTAACCTGCCCCGACTAAATGTAGACTTCAAACACGAAGGAGAAATGTAACATTAGTCTGTCTTTCCTGGGAGGGCTAGAACAATATCTTGCATCTGATTGATGGAATCTATGTATTAAATAGGTGTAAACACCAGGCTAACATCTATGTGGAACTAATGAATCCCTCCCCAAGATATATCAAGTAGGTCCTCAGGAGGGCTTTATAAATCCCAATGAACTTGCTATAATGCATTGTCACTAAGATAAAAACACTCCCGTGGAGGAATTGAACTCTGAGTAGATGTGTCCTAATCAGGAAAGAGGTGCTATATAGGAGGTGTCAAGGAAAGTCCCAACGCACAAATCCATCCCGGTAGCTCAGTGGCTGGGAGACGCACGACTTCACGTCTATGATGGGACTTGTCCCTCAGCAGACGGGAAGGGAGCGGGCTCACCATACCCACTAGAAAGGCCACTGGTACCATGTACCCTTGGGGGTGGATTTGTGCGCTCTCTCTCTTTTTTTTATTTTTATTTTTTTGCTTCTTGGTATACTTCATACTAGTACTGGACACGCAAGACTTTATTAACTTTGGCACATCTTTTTCATCGGTAGAATCAAAAATGGCTGGCCACTTGTGCGGCCTTGGAATGTCTTTTCTCTAACCTCCTCATTAGTCTTCTGAGTGGTCTCCAAGATAATTTATTCATCGCATATCAGTAAGTTGATTGTGACTTGAATCGAACATGAAAGTGTATTCATGACTAGGTAGTTAAAAATTTCATTATCATCGTGAAAAGCACATACCCCAAAGAGTAACTCTGCTACGAAGAAACCAATACATATCAACGCACTGAAGCAGATCTCAGTACCGCCAAAATAACCGCAAAAAAAAATAATGCAAGCATCGAAGAGGAAAATCATACAGGATCAAAAGGTAACCCAACAACTTCAAGCATCCTCAGCCTGGTGCAAACGCACAGTGACCAGGTCAGCAGGCGCACTAGTTAAAGTAAGACCATATCGAATCTTCTGGTTCGGATAACCATCCTCAATCTTATCAAAGCGCTGCAGAAGTCTCACAATAACATATCCGACCTCAGTAAGTGCAAACTGTTGCCCAATACAGATCCGCGGTCCACCATTGAATGGAATATACTCCCAGCCAGCCTTTCGTTCCATCCAGCGCTCAGGCTTAAACTGGTCTGCATCAGGACCCCACAGGTCCTTTCGGCGATGCATAACATGCGTCGAGTAGATCACTGCCTGGCCTTTGCGGACATAGACCGGGTCTTGACCGTCTGGACCACCGCCGCGTGGGATGGTCGTGTTATGGATTGCGGTGCGGCGATTGAAAGGGACCACTGGGTACAGACGTAGCACTTCGTTCATCACGTGCTGCAGGTACTGGCAGGATTTCATGGCACTGAAGGTGATGTTCTGGGGGCTAGAGTAGGTGCCGAAGTTTGAGATGACTGTTTCGCGGAGCTTGGTGAAGACGTCTGGGTGGCGGGCAAGCATAAGGATTGTCCAGCTTAGGAGGGATGCTGTCGTGTCGCGGCCGGCCAGGAGAATGTTGAGGAGTTGGGAGCGGAGCTCGATTGGGTCGCGGGTTACTTCGAGGAGGGCTTCGAGGAAGACGTAGGATGGTTTTTCATTGGAAGAGGCATCCTTTTCAGATTGAGGGGCTGCTAGGGCCTTTGAGACGACTTTGTCGACGAAGGAGTGCACTTGTTTGTCGGAGAATCTGGTCTCCTTGTTTTCAACTAGGAAGGGAAGTTTTTCGAAGCGGACTCGCTGCGCGCAGACCCATTGAGACTTGTCAAAGTAAGTTGCGAAGTTGTCTTCGGGTCTATCTAGGCCCTTTAGAGCGCCGAGCTGGCTCTCGACACTTTCACCGAATAGGAATTCTGTCGCGGAGTCGATGGTCAAGCGGAAAAAGATGGACTGGATGTCGGTTGTTGCGGTCCATCCATTGGCTGCGACGGGCAAAGCCTGCATGGCATTTTGTACATGTTTTTCTTCCAGTTCCAATTGACTGATCTGCTCACGGGTGAACTGAGGTCGAAGCAGGTTACGGGAACGGCTCCATTCCTCTCCATCAGCGGTGAACTATGAATAGTCAATACCCTGATTGGCGACAGAAGGCAAACAAGGGATAACAACTCACAATACCGGTGCCCAGCAGCGGATGCATGGTAATCTGACGGACCGGACCTAGCTCGAAGTCTTTGAACTGTGTAGCCAAGATAGCCTGTATGTTCTTCGGATCGATCGTGGTGATATGGACTTGACCGAGGTTGCGGATGAGGAACGTAGTCACATAACGGTTTTCCTGGCCACTGATGACATCGACGCGCTTCACGGCCAACTCGGGTACCAGTTTGGCCTTGTCTGCCACCAGGGACTGTTTAAGGTTATCGATTCCAAAAGGATCTTTGCTCGGGTACATTGGCACCCTGCCACAACCTAGACGCTTCGCATTGCGTGAGTGTTGCCATGAGTTGAATGCTATACGAATGATCTGCAGCACGAGGGCTGCGGCCGCGAAACCTAAGACGAACGAAAGCGCCATTTCTGTTGAAGAGTTTGGAGATTTTTCAGAGTAAATGTAGGAACCAACTTAACTTTATAAAAATGCACCCCCCGGCCCGAAGCATATTAGTGGAGAAATACTCCACAGGAAGGATTGGGCATGATCGACATCAAACCAAGGACTAATAACCAATCACAGCCATACTTGATGTCATATTTGATCGGCAGTTCGGATTTCGCACTCCATGCAATTTCTCGTCCGATCTAGATCTCGGAGCTGTTACTTGGTGTGTGTTTTTAAATCCGAAGTTGCGCTGGAGTTCACCTTGTTCATGAAGGCCCCATATTCCCATCAAGGGATGATCTCCAGTTTCAGCTGCCACTCACAATGTATCACCCGACGCGTGAGGTCCTAGCGGGACACACAGCTTACTGGAGAGAGAAGCCACGCAGGTCTGTGTGCGGAGGACACGAGCAACTAAGTGTGCCACCTGGGTATAAGTCTCTCATTGGATACTGCCTGACCATTGATATATCACCGTCTTCTCCAACCATATATGCCATTTCAATTTTTATATTTATCTTCAATTTCTTTTTCAATCATATAATTCGTACTCGAGTCAAACAGGGTACCTAAGAGGTCCAGGAAGGGTAGGATGCTCAAGACATCTAGAGTATAGTACACTTATTCAACACTATGAACTGTATGGGCTTTAGACTATTGAGTGGTCTTTTGGTCTTTTCTTTAATAAAATTTCTTGACCTGGTATAACCTCACCATGGACTTATACTTTTAAAATTCAATAATTCAACCACAGCGAATGTAATTCTGAACTATTGAATGCGCTCCAAGTGTACATAGGCAAGTTGAGTACTCCAGCCCTGGACCTCACATGTAGAGAGAGTGGATGACTAAACTGGCATAACCTTGGAATCCCGAGGTCCAATGAGAGGCACATTGTGTGTTCAGCTGTCAGAGCATAACGGGCTTGTGTGACTTGCATGCACTATACCTTCATAATTTTTTATAACTTCATCACTGCATAACTTCATACCTTCATAACTTCCCTGAGGTTCTTGCAGATTCAAATATCTGCAGCGTAGTGGAGAACCCCTGTCCTCGCATTAGTGTTTGATTAGGCCGAGGTTCTCTGGGCAACATTATTATTTGATGAGTGATCAACTACTTATCCCGAGGTCATCAACGTCAACGTCAACCTCAACCTCGACACACCAACTCGGGTATTGCTAATAATCCGGCCAAATTAAATGCCATTTCAGCTCAAATCTGCAGATGCAGGGACCTAGGAATTCCCCCATGCTAGACATGCTATCCTCAAGATCATACCTGGAACTGTCACAAGAAGCAGAAACATCAACAAACACGTTCGCCAGGGAACTAAGCCCCAAGATCAAAGCCGAATCAGATCGTCGTCTGAGATCCCGAAAGGAACCTATAGCCCAAGCACCGAAGATCCCCGACCAAGTGACCGACAGAAACTCGGCGGCTCCGGATCTTCCCGTGCGGAAAAGAGGCCGGCCGAGATTGGATATTGCCAAAGATGCCACTGCTATTGAGGTGAGTATCGGCTCACTTGCGATCTAAACATTGCTGACTCCCTCCACAGGAACGGCGTCTGCAGATCCGACGGGCGCAACGCACTTACCGTCTTAAAAAAGAGAATACCATCCAGAATCTCCGATCTCGCGTCAATGTACTAGAGCAGACACTACAGAATGTATCAAATCTTCTAGACGGAGCCCACCGCGACGCAATCGATAATCTCAACGGCGATGCAACTCTTCAGCCAAGCGTGGATTATCTGGCCCACACACGAGAACTCATCCTAGCAGAAATAAATCAGACCCGGTTCACCTCCTTAAATGACGATCTCCAACTCGAGCATACCGGCAGTCTATCTCGGGACAGGGACACATTCGGCTACGAAGTGTCACATATGCATTCCCAGAAGAAGAACTCTACCGTCTCCTCTCTATACACGCGACACAACCGAGCCCGCTCGCCATCCCCACTAATAAACCGCCTCCTCCCAACGGCAACCATCTACACATACAGCCATCAAGAATCCAACCTCGCTCGTCGCCTCCAAAGATTCAGCCTCGAGCACACCTATCGCTGGCTAACTGACCCACGCACTGAGCCCGTTCTCCTAAGCCGTGTCTTTGGATTGGTTCCTTGCATCCACGACATGCCAGGTATAAGGCGCAATTTCCGACGCACGCTGCAATCCGAGATCGGGAGCGGGCTTGAATTCGTCAAGATGCCCTTTTACACGCTCGGCGGAGCGGGGAAGCACTTCCCGCGCACCGACGCGAATGGGCACCCCGTGTATCCAGAGAACAGCCGGAGACCGGGGAAGATTCTGCGACGGATGGTGCGGATTTTGCAGCGAGGCGGGATTCAGGACTGGGATGAGGATTGGAGTGGGGAGCGGGAGCCTGTTGCTGTCACTTACGAGGGATTGGTAGATGAGACGCAGGTGCGGATGAGCGAGAGCGAGAGGATTCGCTCGCTTGATCTTGATGGTGAGTGGTTTGATTGTCATGATGTGCAGGGGTATCTGGAGCATCGGGGTCTTGTGCTTGATGGGTCGGCGGTGAGGCTCGGCGTTCCTGAGGCTTTGGTCGGGGATTTGTATGGATTCTCCCCGGACAAATCGACTGTTTCCAGTCTGTATGCTTCGCCGGATGGGACTACTGCCGATAGGACGGGATCGGAATCCTCGACCTCATCGTCGTATACTCTGGACGTTGAGTGTTTCTTTGACTGTGAGTAACCGTTGATATGTTTACACCTTGTAACTTTGTCAATATCACTGACATGAGCCTAGTACTCCTCGCAAATCTCAGAATTCTCGGCCGCGCGCCAGGCTTCCGAGTATGGGATGTAGATGCCGCATTGCGATCAGCGATCTCCCGTCGGCCCTTTGGCTAGCCAACACACAAGACTGACAACTGACCTGTCCTTCCATGGATATAATGACTAATTCACGAGCCACGACTGGAATGATCATCTACGTATATCAAAGCGAGTCAAATAAAACGCAATAATTTGAAAATTGAACTCCATCACTGGCATTATTCTGGGGTATAGCGTAGAAAAAACCAGTACAGCAAAAAAAAGGAAGTCCGTAGAATCACATCAACATCAAATCACATCCAAGACCGCCGATGCCATGCGGTAGACATTGAATCTGGCCTAACGAGGTTCCGGGAGTCAAGTCGAACTAGGCCGAGTTTATCGGCAGTGTCTTCGCATGAGCGCATCGGCGGCCACATCCCGATATCGTCTAATCGTCTAGCAGCAAATCTCACAGCACTCGAAGCAAGCAATACCGGCGCAACTAGGATAAGTTAGTTTCCGAATTTTTGTTCGCGCGCATGACTGAATATGTTTCTGGTCGGCTTGGATTCGGGGAAGAAAGGAACGTACACTCCGCAGCAGACACCACCGCCGCCACCACCGCGCAGCTGCATTTGTTCTTGGCTGGCCTACATGCGATAGATGTTAATTTTTGGTCTAGAAATATGAGTTCATTTTGCTATGGGTTATAGCATACCGGCTGCTCGGAGATGACATTTTGGTTGCTTTGGCTGCTTGAAGGGGCAGCGGGGCTAGTGGGCTGCATGGTGACGGTGTTGGCATTCCAGCCGTCAGTGGCGGGCTCGTTAGCCGGGGCGGATTTGAAGAAGTTGAAGTTGAACATTGCAGTTGGTCTATGTGTATAGGGTTGTATAAGGTCGGAGTAGAGTAAGGTGTACTGAGGATTATAAGGGAACAAAGGAAAATGTAGGGAGAAAAGATAAAAGAGGACAGAGCCACTATATGTAGTTTTTTTTTTTTTTCAACAATGTGGAGGATCGACTGAAAATGAACAAAATAAGTAATGAAACAACTAGCGCCCGAAGGAGATTACACGCCCATTCTGATCCCATAGAGTTACGCGTTGCTAAGTATAGCTGGACTAATCAGAATGATGCTGCCTGGGACCACAGTGAGGCTTTGCAGTATACGTAGGTGTTCCATGGTTCCTCATGCCTTTTCATTCCATATTTACTTCTAGAACTGTGGCTATGTGTAGCAGGCACTCACATATCCATGGATTTGCACAGCCTCTTAGAGCTTGTTCTCCAGGGCAGCCATGGAACCATGGAAATCAAACAATCAGCACTTCAGCCCTGTGAGGCCAGGGTTGCCAAGGTCTTGGCAAACGGCTTGTATTGCACGGGTAATCGTATTGTGGCAGCTGACATCTTATGTATGAGATGGATGACCTCATTTGCACAAATCTTCTTGGGAAAGTTGTAGGGCTGTAGGTCATGTCTCTAAATGATAGAAGCCACGAAAGTATGGTAAACACTCAGAGCTTCGAGAGGATCCCATCCGGCCGTAAAACGGAAAGATAGCATTTTTGAATTTCGCTGATCGTCCGGCACCTGGTTTTGATCAGAAATTTTCTGATTTTTTATGCATTCCAGAAGAAAGCAATCACTTACCCAGCTAATGCCATGGTGATCCGCAGCTCTTGGCGGAGGATCCGAATCGCCAATTCGACACCTTCTTGTCCGTTATACTGTATTGGTCAGTTGTGAACAGAATGACAAACACATAAACCGAAATAAGAAAACTTACAGCCAGCCCCCAGAATGGGATCCTTCCCATAAAACAGAAGCTAGCCCCCAACGCCAAAGCCTTGAAGATATCCGATCCTCGTCGGATACCTCCATCCACCGCAATCGGAATTCGATCCTTGGCTACTGGCGCACAGACCCGTAGGGCATCCACTGTGGACGGCATGCCGTCTAGTTGCCGCCCACCGTGGTTCGAAATAACGACACCGTCAATGCCATATTTGATGGCTAGCTCTATATCCTCCGGGGAGGTTACTACCAGAAAGTGTGAGTTGCTTCGCATGTTGCACTCGACAAAAACATAAACATACCACCCTTGAGCCAGATCTTCAGAGATGTATGCTGTCTCAACCACGGAATCGTGTTCTCCCAATCCAAACTGGGATCTGTAAAACATCAGCATGCCTACACCAACTTCACAGATCAGCTTCGCCATAAGACATACCGTACTCAGTGCGGTCCGAGTGATCCCCTCCATGACTGAGGATATTTGGCCACGACATGTCATCCGGGATGGTGTACTCATTCCGGTATTCGTTGATGCGCTTGCCTAACACGGGTACATCGACAGATAGGAACAGCGCCTTGTATCCCGCCTCTGAAAAAGATGTTAGCTCAATCGAGGCATCAAAACGATGAAAGATAAGTATCTTGAATACGACGTACTCTCTGCCCGCTCCAGCAACTGAAGCGTAATCGCTCGATCCCGCAGTACACACATCTGCATCACATATGGATTGCCGGTCCCCTGTGCGGCGACGTCCTCGAGCGGATAATTTGAGTACGAGGATAGGCCCATGCAGAGGCCGTAATTTGCGGCTGCGCGCGAGGTCGCGAGCTCGCCGTCTGGGTGGGCGAGTTTCATTGACGCGGCAGGGCTGAAGCCGAATGGGAGTGAGACCTATGCATTGTATTAGAATTGGCACTGGTATGTTCGCTTCTCTGCGGGCTAAGTGGAAGGGTTGTATACCTTGCTGTCAAGAAACTCGGTGCTTGTGTCGATTTTATCGACATTCTTCAAGATCCGGGGGCGGATCTTGTAGCGGTCGAAGGCTGTTTCGTTCTCGTTGAGACTAGACGAATGTTAGGGGAGATGTGGCCTGGTCTGTTGCGCTTTGTTATCTCATACGTGATTAAATCCATAGCTCCTCCATTGTAGTAATCTATTGTGGTCAGTGCTGGGAACATGAATCGATGTTGTGAGTTGGTGATATGTACTTACCTCTAACCATCGGAGCCAGCCGGCTGCTCCCCATTTCCTTCAGATCAGCGATGCAGCATACATCTTTGTGAAGGGTCTCTCCGCGGTGAGCCATTTTGTACCGTGCACTTTGGGATGCGGTTATAGCATTTGTATAAGAAAAAGGGATAGAGCAATGCGACGACAGCGCAGTTCAAATATGAAGGATCCCCGGCGACTCTTCCCCTTCCGAGTTCATTTTCCATTGCCTGATTGAGATGCACACATCGAACTTCTCTTTGCTACAGATGGGGATTCTGGGGTTGGTTTCCTATCGCGGTGCACGATTCGTAGGAGTCGCTTGCCAGATTGAGATTCTATGAACGGTGTCGCTGTCACGGGTTAAGGATGCTTGGTCGCACCGAGCTTTAATAATATTCTACTTACGAGCTCTACAACCGTTGCGTCAGCGCCAATCAAACAAGAGCGTCGGAGATGTTGTGCGCTGGGCTAACTGAATTCGCTGGGTCCAAGCTTGGTAAAAAACGGTTCTACCAAAAGAGGATCAGAGCTGCTTATGCAGCTAGGACACTTTGATTCAAATATCCGAAGTGTTATGTCAATCTTGGTTTTAATAAATAATGACCTCAATGGTTCCAATGAAGTCCACGAGATCTTTCACTATAGAGTAGCATTGGTGGGCTAAATGGGTTGCTAGTAGCTTGATCTTCAACCTAACCGGGGCCGAATTCTACTTCGATTCCAATTAGTAGCTACGGCAGACAGAAAAGTGATTCCAGTGAATCTGCAATGAAATTATAGATGTGAAATGGAACGTCGAAAGGACTAGAAACCAGGGCTTGGAAGAGCAGGTGATTCCGAAGAGCCGATAAGAGATCCAAATTAGGAAGGCAATTCCGATTTTGGCGGGGTTGGCCATATCCTCGACTCTCTGCATTCTACTTTCTAATATGGAAACTAGTTAGCACTAAGTATCCTTCTTAGATTAACTCTATATATAACTTTGAAAATGGTGACATCCAAGCGATCAAGACCTCGCCGATCCCATGTGCTGGGAGGGTGCAGCACCTGCAGACGCCGGCATGTCAAATGTGACCAGAAACGGCCCGTTTGCCGTACATGCCGTGCGCTAGGCGTGAAATGTGAGGGATATTCAGATCAGGTTCTGTGGATGCGCACTGATAGTGAGGAGCCTGAGAGCACTCATGTACCTCGTGGGACTCGCCGTTATCTTTATTCAGGTACATGGCCCGACAGTATGAGATAATAGGGCTTGTTGATGCTGACCCATGCTCTAGAAAAATCCAGACTCTCTATGAGTACTGCGCTGGGGTCTGATCTTGTATTGGGGTCTATTGATGCGTCACTGGCAGAGGTCGACTCCAGGCTGCGAGACCCTGAACGGTCGCTCAATAGTGACATTGTCATTGGACCCTTTGCGGTTCTTGATTTCTCTTCAGCACCACAAATTCCGGAGCAAAAATTGGTGCGCGACATTGAGCCCACCAAGTCTGATAATCCTGCAGTTGAGGCATCTGACACTGTAGCGCCTGAGAAACTGCAAGAGCCTAGTGTCTCTCCAATATTCGATTCCCTATCTCATATTGATGATTTTCTCCACTGGTCCGATCTATTGAGCTTTGGTCCAGACCAGACGGAACTTGCAACAAACGGTGCCTTGAGTATGCCGAATGATTTATTATTTGATATGAGCCAAGAGATGGGGTTGCTACCCGTTGACTCAAACCACAGCGATGATCTACTGCAATCTTTCACAACACAACAACCACCCCCAGCGGAGCTTATTTCTGCTGATATAGATGCTCTAAAAGAAGCTCCAGCTCTGCTTCGACACTTCCAGGATGTTGTCATCCCACACATAATGGCCATTCCCTGTCGACAGAAGTCGCCCTGGAAGATCTTGAACGTACCGGCAGCGGTGATCACATACAGTGATTCGACCTTTCTTGGGACAGAAAGGGTCAGTCAGGCCAAGATGGCAAATTTGTATGGCTTGCTCGCCTGCTCTGCTGTCCATCTGGTTTTGAACCCTTCGACAACATTCCAAAATCCGCCTGAGTATTGGTGGAAGGTTGCCAACCACGCATATCTGCAAGCCAGGGACCATATGCAAGCATCCCTCCGTTCCGAAACTCAAGGCTTGAAGAAAGCAAAGTATAAAGATCAGCTGATGGCTGTATGCATTCTCATACAGTACACGGTGAGTTTGATATGCGAGATTAATCGGATGACTCTGACTTTCACAGATTATGTCCGGCCAACAACAACACGCTCGATATTTTATGATTGATGCAGAGCGGCTACTACGTCTTCGGGGGCTTTCAAAGACCCGAATTTCGAAAAAGGCACGACTTTTGCATCATGTCTACACTTGGCTTAGAATAGTCGGTGAAAGTACGTTTGTTCTACATGACTATAATATCTCTTCCTCGTCTTTTGAAGCACTTGGTTCTCGATTTCGATCAAGGTGCACACCTAGTCTAGAAGAAGTGGGGAACAACGAGCCAAATCCTCGACTGGACGATTTCCTACGTCTCGAAACCCAAAACTCAGATAGTGATCTGAATATCGATGAACCTAAGGACCAGACTTCGGGACTTTATGACATCCATCTCCAAGACTCACGAAGTTATCCTGAAACATTATACAAGCAAATTTATGGTATCCCAGAAACTTGGCTCAGCCTCGTCTCACAAACAACGAGACTAGCCAACGTTCTGGAGACATTCCGTATTGCCCGTGAGGCGGGACAGATGGTGAATCTTGAAACATGGGAAGCACTACAACGACGAAGCACCCGATTGGAAAACATGATCTGCTCTTTCAGCCTAGGTCGGACAAGAGCCGGGGTCCTGGAGCTCCACGCCGATTCAGAACCGCACGGTCATATGGTGGCGGCATTGAATGCGGCCCTTGTGATTTTCTTTTACAGGCGAATCCGACAGACCCACCCGGCTGCTCTGCAGGGTCATGTCGATAGTGTGATTGCAGCCCTTCAGGCATGCACTGCGGCATTGTCCCAAGATGATCCCACTGGACCCGGAACGGCGTGGCCATTGTTTATGGCAGGGTGCGAGGCAATGTCAATCGCAAGGCGAGAGGCGATCATGAGCATGTTGGATAGTGCGAGCTCAGTCTGTGGATTTGCCGCTTTTGGTACAGCTAGAAATATTATTACGGAAGTGTGGCGCAAGCAGGACGAGCATATGACTGCAAACCGGGGTGAGTCAATGCCTTCATGGTTTGAGATTTTGAAGCAAGGGCAGACATGGCCCCTGTTTTGTTGACCTAGCTGGTCATTCTTCTTTTTATTATATTCTACGACTTATGCACTTTTATGACACAATCAAGAAGATGATTCTGAAGTGATGTGTTCTCATTCCGGTATAAAGCACCAAATAATCGAATATACAACATAAAAAGCTAAATAGTCTTAACCCCAGCATTCTGCAGCAATTTCTTAAGTTCTGCCGTCAACTCCGGGCTGAGAAGAGCAAAAGGCTTGCGCAAACCACCGGTAGGCTGCCCAATCAACTCAACACCGGTCTTGACAGCAGCCGAATAGCTATGCGACTCAAGGAAATTGCAAATCGGCCAAGCCTTAGCCCAAATTTCACGCCCAAGCTTCAAATCTCCCTTCACTGAAACCGCCTCATAAAGATCAACTGCCAACTCAGGAATAATATTCGCCGCGCCCCAGATTCCACCCGGCGCACCAGCAGCAAGACCATAGAAAGTCAAAGTATCCCATCCATTGAATGAAATAATCTGATCAGAGAGACCAAAGATCAGCTCCGTCAGCGCCGTCGCATTACCAGAGGTATCCTTTAGATACTTGACGCCGACCTTGGACAGACCCGCAATCTCAGAGGGGGACAACGTCAGCCCCGAGGCAGCAGGGATATTATAGAAGACAATAGGCAGGTTTGAGGCTGTGTGGATCTCTAAGAGTAGCTCGTGGAGTTGTTCCAGGTTGAGGGGATCGTAGAAAGGGGGCACGACCATGATCGCGGCAGCGCCTGCTTGCGCGGCATGAACGGAGAGCTCAATCGCCTCCGTGGATGAAAGGCTGCCGGTGCCGGCCACGACGGGAACCCGACCAGCGGCAAACTTCACACAAAGCTCTGTCAGCTGCTTGCGCTCGGCGGTTGTCATTGTGGTGAATTCGCCTGTGCTACCGCCTGGAACTAGACCGTGCACGCCTGCTGTGATGAGGTGCTCGATGTGTGCTTGGAGACGGTCTTGGTCGATTGCGGTCTTGTCGTCAGTGAAGGGGGTGATCAAGGCCACCATGATTCCGTGGAGGGAAGCCATTTTGGAAGTTGTATAGAGGTATATGCTGAAGGGAGAGGGGATTTGCTTGCTTGGTTGAGAAAGATGATGAGTATGGTGGACTGGATGAAGTGGTCTTCATCTAGATATAGTTGAATTGATTATGGAATCTCTTACCGTTTCTATATTTTATAGTTCTATTCATTCCGAACTGTAGAGGAGTGGCTTGCCTTTTCGGGATGGGTTTCCTACTGAGGATGCATCGTCATCTTCAGAATGAAGATTTCTCTCGCTTTTTCCCTTCTAATTTTGTGTTCTTTCAGAATGTCTACTTGATAGACCAAGATCCAGTGATCGGAGCTGGTACTCCGCTGGGACTCATCTTGTTCTCTAAAGAGGACCTGGACCGAAGAGACATCCTGCATACACTTCGTCGCATTTCAGCCTTGTTGGACTTCTTCGTTAGTCTATTTTCTTTTCATCTATTTCATGTCAATCTTGCCTCCATATTCAATTCTTGCAGCATCATAAACTACACAGACCTTAAGGGAAAAAATGAAGTACTACAAGTGACACGTTAGGGCTGAGCACGTGGCTAACAAAAAAGGCCAGCTTTATCCGACACGACATGGAGTCTCCCGGTCATACTGAACAATCAGATAATCGAACATCTGCTTACGTAGATTGATTAGTCGTGAATAAATCAAGGATATGAAGATTAGTATAAATTGAGAGTAATATATTTTATCCACTTAAGTCACCAACATTCCCGGAGAGTATGTCGGATTGTATATCGGAAGGACTTGCCTGAAGGGGCTTAACCGCAATTCAGGAATGTCATATATTATACCCCACGCGCGCTTTAGGAGTTGGAATTTCTCACAGTTGAAACAAAATGGACCTCTTCATTGATATAGTTACCCCCAACGGGCACAGTTACAAGCAGCCCACTGGTCTTTTCATTAACAACGATATCGTACCCGCCACAGGAGGCCAAACCATTACATCTCTTGATCCCGCGTATGTCATTATCGGAACTGCTATGTACCCTCCCCCGCTAATTATTGTCTAGTACCGACAAGCCCATTGCCACTGTCCAAGCAGCGAGCGCTGAAGATGTTGACCGTGCCGTCAAAGCTGCGAAAGCGGCCTTGGTTCACCCCTCATGGAAATTACTGCCCGCCACAGAGCGGGGCCAACTGATGGCACGACTGGCTGATCTCATGGAGGAGAATAGACAGCTGTTTGCATCTATTGAGGCTTGGGATAATGGTATGGTCTCAAAATCACAAAAAGAAAGATGACTTGCTCAATTGAAGTCAGGAAAACCCTACCACGTCGCCCTTGATGAAGATTTAACCGAGGCAATCTCGACAATCCGCTATTACAGTGGGTGGGCTGATAAGACTTACGGCCAGACCATCAACACAACTCCTCAAAAGTTTGCCTACACAATCCGCCAGCCCATCGGTGTAGTTGGCCAGATCATTCCATGGAACTACCCCCTTTCCATGGCCAGCTGGAAGCTTGGCCCTGCACTAGCATGCGGAAACACAGTTGTCCTAAAGCCAGCCGAGCAGACTCCTCTCAGCGCCCTCATCCTGGGTACATTAATTAAGAAGGCCGGCTTCCCTCCAGGTGTGGTAAATATCGTCAATGGCTACGGACGCGAGGCCGGCGCCGCGCTCGCTTCGCACCCATTGATCGATAAGGTCGCATTTACAGGATCCACACTGACCGCCCGAGAGATTATGAAGATGGCCGCCGGCACACTCAAGAACATCACACTTGAAACAGGTGGCAAGTCCCCCTTGCTGGTTTTCCCAGATGCAGATATGGAGCAGGCCGTCAAGTGGTCGCACAGCGGTATCATGTCCAACAAAGGCGAGATCTGCACCGCCACCTCGCGGATCTTCGTCCACCGTGAGATCTTGGAAGAATTCACCGCTAGTTACAAGACGGCAGTTGAGAGTGTGAAGATCGGCGACCAGTGGGATGACTCGGTCTTCCACGGACCGCAGGTGACACGAGCACAATATGACCGTATCCTCTCCTACTTTGAAATTGCTAAGAGCGAGGGAGCTACTATACTCACTGGTGGTGCTGCCTACACTCCGACTGAGGAGAAGAATAAGAATGGATACTTTATCCAACCTACGGTTATTGTCAATGCGACGGATTCGATGCGCATTGCCCGCGAAGAAGTGTTTGGCCCCGTCGTGGTGATCTTCCCCTTCGATGATGAGGAAGAAGCTATTCGTCGAGCCAATGATACCACTTACGGCCTTGGCGCGTCTGTTTTTACGCGTGATTTGGAGCGTGCTCACCGTGTGGCCGCTGAGATTGAGTCCGGTATGGTCTGGATCAATAGCAGTCAAGATTGTGATCCTCGCATACCTTTCGGTGGCGTAAAGCAGAGTGGCATTGGGCGTGAGTTGGGAGAGGCTGGTCTGGAGGCATATAGCCAGACCAAGGCCGTTCATGTGAATATGGGAACCAAGCTATGAATGAGGTTATGAAGCACATTGTTGTATATAGAAATTTAGATTCTGTCAAGCTGTGAATTGTCTTTTGTATTAAAGTGTTATAGTTTGTTCCAGTATGTACTTAGGAAAGTCTTTTGCACAAATTAGACCTCTAGGAAATATGTTTAAAAAACAAAAGCTAAACAGAATATCTCAATACTAACATATTACTATTAACACCCTAACGATGATCCTTTTTGGTCATGACGAGGGCATGAGAAAATTCACAGACTTTAGGTTTCCATGTGGAAGACAGTGCCAGGAACACACTGATAGTGTGCGTGAGTCGGCAGAGATAATAGTAAACCAGCTTGAAAATATGTTGATGAATAAACTTGTACTCGATATAAGCCTTTGCTTTGTGGGTTCCCCGCATCGATCTGTTGCCGGGATAGGTTGATGATTTGCGCTCTACCGTACAGAGGGTTGTAAAAGGAATTCTAGAACGAGCCTAAAGATAGGCACTGGGGCATTGAATGAGCGTATACGACCTTCGTGGAAGGGTATCGCTGGAATGAGTCATTATGAGCATGGACGACTGAGCTGAGTCTTGACCGAATATTGAAACATGCTTGGAAGTACGGTCTCAATGAGTCATAATCACTCTATGATTATCATTTAATGATTCAAAATGACCGAACCTTTGACAGAAGAGAATAAACATGATCACATAACCTTTAGCTACTATATTAGAACCGCTGTATATAATTAATTGTTTGCTGTTTTCTTTAAAAACGTAGGTCAAATAACCTGTTGCAAAATCCTACGTATCATTGTCAGTTGCATCATAAAAAGAAGGAAAAAGAGATCAACATGGTATCGGTATTTGCACCGGCATGGGACGAGGTAAACTGCATCCAACTCCCATAAAATATGATAAGTCATGCTAACCCTAAGAAGTTCATCCAAGAAATCGGACCACTTCTAATGACAGGCTCCACGGTTGAGGACTTGTACAAAGATTCCGAGATCAATTCGCAAAAAATTATATCCAGATACAAAATTCCACCACTAGATGATTCAGTCACAGCCGAAGATATCAAACTTGAGAACGCCTGGGTCCGAGTCTTCACACCGCCATCAGCAACCGGCGACGGACCGGTAGGCATTTTTATTCACGGTGGGGGGTGGATTATGGGAAGTGTCGACATCGAAGATGCTGCATGCCGACATATCAGCACGAGCACCGGCATGAAAGTCGTCAGTATTGGGTACAGACTGGCACCAGAATTTCAATTCCCACACAGTCTCAACGACTGTGTTGAGGCAACTTTATGGACCCTCAATCACTTCGCAATCTCATCCGTTATACTTATGGGAGGCTCAGCAGGCGCCAGCCTTGCTTTTGGTGTTGCATTGAAACTTGTCGATTCCGGGCTCGGGGATAAGGTCAGAGGCATCTTGGCTTTGGTTCCTTGCACTGTACACCCTGATGCAGTACCTGACGACAAGAAGGAAAGCTTTACTTCTTATCAGGAACACGCTATGCACACTGTCAACACATTACCTGCCATGAAATGTTTCCTGGATTCCTATGGTCCATCGCCTGACGACAAGTATTTCTCGGTCCTCCTCCACCCGCGCCTGAAAGATCTCAAGAAAGTCTATATCGTTGAATGTGGGACGGATACATTGAGAGATGATGCTCGACTGATGAAAGGAGCTTTGGAGGAAGCTGGTGTACCCATCATGTATGATGATTACCCTGGCTATCCCCACTATTTCTGGTCGTATCCTTCTCCGGCTCTGGCGCAGGCCTCGGAGGTGTTTCACACGAACATGTTCCGTGCGATAAAATGGATCAATTTGGACTGAAGAGGTACTGTTGAGAATATATGTCGATATACAAATCGGAGCTGGTTTCTGCTGGGGTGGAAAGCATATTGCCAATCTAGCTGCCGGAGCGGACACTGCCTCGAATGGAAAGCCACTGCTTACTGCTGGGTTTACCGGCCATCCGAGTCTTCTTGAGATCCCCAACGAGATTGAGACAATCAAGATTCCTATTTATTTTGCGCTTGGGACAAAAATATGGATTTAAAACCTCCACAAACTGAAGATGTCAAACAAATATTCACCAGCACTTCCGGTGCTGGGAAAGGAGAAGTGATAGTTTATGAGGGGGCCGGCCATGGCTTTTGTGTCAGAGCTGATCTTGTTCAGGACGATGCGAATAAACAGGCACTGGCCTGGTTTAAGAAATATTGACAGATTTGGAAACAATTTGAGGCTTTATGTTGCGTTGAATTAGTTGAAGAATGTATTGGGTAAAGAGAGTTGAAAGTAGGAATCGAGTACATGTAAGAGCCCGGACACCTGAGCCATAGTAGTCACCCAATGAGAGTACAGACACAGCCACTATCAGCACCGCCTTACTGTGGCGGTGTATTGACCAAAATCACCAAGACAACACCAATCCCCCTTCTGTCTACTGCCCGTCCCACTGACGTGGTCCAAGTTCCAAGTGGAGAATATGTAGCCCTTCAGACTGCATTTTGGAACTTCACCGCAGTCCTTGCGGCCTAGTTTTTCTTTTTTTTTTGCCTTGGATAGTTTCCTCTTCATTAAGTTCACTGCAACATCTATATTCTTTCGCTTGATCGTTTGAACTTATGCCTCAGATTTCAAACACTCCAGAATCCTTGCTTCCTCGCTCAGATTCTCGAAATCCAGCAACAACATGTAGAGGTATTACCACCCAAGGCCGGCCCTGCCGCCGCTCTATAGCCTCTTCAAGTCCATCACCTGCTTCTACTCCTCGCAAGAAGGACCCTCGCCAAGAAGCTATAGATGTGGCATCTTTGTACTGCTGGCAGCACAAGGATCAAGATTCTTCGTCAAGTTCATATATGACTGTCATCACTCCGGCCAAGACGAGGACGAGCATCGATACATTGATGGATCGACTCGGTGTGCTCGAAATAAACGATGATCCAGGGCCTCAAAGGCCAAAGCCTCCCCAAAAACGGCGGACAAATCAAAGTCGGCCGAAGAGAAAGACTACTTTCTGTTGCTTTCAGATCGTGGAAGACAGCGGCGAAGATGACAAGCCTACCTCATTCCAACGGCCCAAACCCCCTCGCCCCACACATGGCGTTTCGAACCAGAAGATTCAACTGCCTGCCTCAGCCGGAAGGCCGCAGCATGCAGGAGGGTCACCCACTCCTCAGACAGCCCGGCCATCATTGTCAAACACGGGGAATCCTTCTTCCTCGCAAACACAAGCGTTGTTGTCATGGATTCCGTCTACACTTTCCCCACAGACAACATCCACTCTTATCACAGAGTTAGCCAAGCCAATCTCCAGCGCCGACGACGAAGGCTATATCTATATGTTCTGGGTGACGCCCCCAACAACCACCACAGAACGGAGCGCTGATACCGCAGTACCCCGAGACATCGCATCCTCTCTACTACCCCAAGCCCCACAAAGTAGCAATCACCTCCGCCCGCCCACTCAGCCGCGCAGCGTCAGCGACGCAATCCGCGCAGCACAGAACCTCAATGCTCTCACCTCCAACCCAACATCAACCACGCCCGGAACGCTCAGGCTGAAAATCGGACGCACGAGCAATGTGCACCGTCGACTCGCTGAATGGAGTAAGCAGTGCTCGTACGATCTGACCTTGATCCGATATTATCCTTACACACCATCGTCCTCCTCGTCGTCATCCCCTGCTAGGATGCCATCATCCCACAACAGCCGGGATAGGGCCCCCTCAGCCTCTTTAGTACCGGGAAGGAAAGTCCCGCATGTGCACCGTGTGGAACGACTCATTCACCTGGAGCTGGCGGCTCTGCGTGTGCGAGACTTAGGACAGTGTCCTGAGTGTGGGAAGGAGCATCGCGAATGGTTTGAGGTCGAGGCAGCGAAGGAGTCGCTCAAAAGAGTGGATGAGTGTATTCGACGATGGGTCTCCTGGGCCGAGTCGATGACCTGACCTTGTTTCCTATATAGTCACTTGAACATCCTTTTGGGGTGCATATATGACCATTCTATATATCAAACCCGAACGAAAAGTTATCTGGAAAGGGAGGCTGATATTGGAGGCATTTCTATGTCATGTATAAAGAGCAAGGCCTTCTCCTGACACAAATGGGAGATCGCAATCAAGTATTATCAAAATCACCAATCTGGACCGGAAATCGTCATTCTTGCGGAGAGTTCTGCGGGCATATCTTTTACGTCTACAATGGAGCGCATTTGCATGGGATGTGTGTGCTGCAATGAAGCATGGCGTTATAAATTTGATGACACCCAGCCATATTTGGCCTTGATTCCTCTCAAGAGAATCGACGAATTCAAGGCCCCATGACCTGCGACTGCTTGACGACAGTAATTCTGCCTGTTTACTTCTCGTCAAATCCGTGCTTGACAGTTTTGTCTCAACGCCTAGGGGTTGATGACATTCAACTTTTTCCGCAAGTCTTTCCTCTTTCCTGGTTCCCTAAGCAATCGCCGGAAACGGTTGCAAATCTGTATCCCACGCAAGTTCTCGCGATGCGTGTGCTGTTGAGCGTCCTGAAGCTTCATGGCTCTTGCAGGGCGATCAAAAGCGCCGATGAGGTCCGTGGGGCTACCAACTCGATGAGTTAATGTCAGAACGGAGATGTATAGCTCGGAGGCTGATTGGACACACATGAGTATCAAAATGAGAAGTCCAATGTCTACCAAATTAATTCATTGATATGTTAGCGATGAGAATCAGAATACATCAGTAGTTATAAACATGGATATTTGGACCTATTTATCTATTTATCTATTTTGGTAGACGTTATACCTTGCGCTTTACCAGCCCACGGAAGAAGTCGAAGCTGTTACTATCACTCTGCAACTGCCACACACGCCCGGTTGGACGATCGTTCCACCCCAGCTCTTCAGCCAGCAAAAGGCCAAAATCACGGGTGATCCCCTGAATACGAGCGCGAGCACCGCCCTCCTCCTCGAGCGTGACAATTTGATGCATGTGTAGCCAATCTTCATAATACATGGCCTCAAAGCCTCTATCAAAGCCTGTGCGCAAGAAGCGAGTATACAAGGCTTCAAAGGTAGTCAAGGTACGAGCCAGGAGCCTCTCAAGTGTGACAGGGGAAGCGGCGGCAGCTCCCGGGGATGCGTAGCGCGCCGCAAGGGTAGTCAAAGCGGTTGTCGGAGAAGCGTTAGTGGCATTGACACCGATACCGACGACGGAGATGTACTCGTTTGACATGAAATGGGAGTTGATTAAGATGCCGCAGATTTTCGTGTACCGTTTCTGCTCGGGGTCATCTGGATCCAGTGCATCTGTAGAGATTGCTTATTAGTAAACCACACATAGTTATAGATGAATCAAATAAATCACCCGGCACCTACAAATATCGTTTGGCCATTTTAGTTTGACTGGGATCTTTTCGTAGCCCTTGGCGTAGTTTTTGATTCCCCGGACGACAGCCATGGCTGATAGGTACTGAAGGAACTGGACTGGTGCCGACTGAATCTTGTCCATTGGGTGTCGCACCACAGTTGAAAATATGAGAGAACCTGCTGGTGAGACCCAGACATTGGACCCGCGTCCACGTCCAGCGATTTGTGCTGTGGCCGTAGCTGTAAAGCCTTGTGGCAACTGACGAAGTAGCTTTGTGTTCCTGCTGCTTGTTAGAGCTGACCAAGACCACACTTATCGGACGAAAGCTTACTTTTCAAGGACTGTGTTCGTGCTAGTCACTACCTCTCCATATAAGAGATTGGAGCCAAATGTTGTAGCCTCTCCCTTGGACTCGGATTGGTATTGGCGAAGGTGAGCATAAAATGCATGATGGTTGAAGTATGGAGTCAATTTGGAAGATGGGATATCGTCGTGGAACACAAGCCGCTTGATGATTGCCTGGTAGTCAACGATACCCTCGCTGGACTCTGATGATGCTGCAGGGAGCGATTCTTCTAGTTCCCCAAGATTCCATGTTCCAGGGCGTTCAATGCGGAAGGTATCGTGGTCATCCTTAAGATACTCGGTTTGGCCCTCCTGAGTAAATGCAGCTCCAAGGCCCGACAGGATATCCATGGGGCCATCAGCATCAATTCCAGACATGTGCAAGGACGACAGTGAAGGCACTGTTGTCGTGTCCTGTGTGACCTCAAGTCCAAGTTTGGACAGACAAGCCTTTAAGAAGTCCGTCCTTTCCTTGTCATCGGCAGCGAGAGCCGCCACCATGTCCGCATATTCAGGTCCACCAGCCTTAGGGTCCAGATTAACAGCCGCAAATCTAGTTCACAAGTCAGTGACTCAATCCTGCCATTTGCGATCCGAAACATACTCAGGATGAGGTCCGGTCAGCACCGCTGCTCCACTACCAACTTTGCAGTAGACAACAGCAGCCGCACCCTCCCCTGCTTCGACATTCAGTTTTTCAGTATAGCTCGCAAGAACCTCTACTCCTTTGTCTGCAAGCAAAGGCGCATCGACAAAGACACCACCGCCATTGTAGTATGACCGGAAGTTGTTTGGCACATTGCCAACGCTTAAAGCTTCCTTGGCCACTTCAAGCCCTACAGCGCGTGCTCCCTCCTCGCTGTGGTAAACGAAGCCCGGGAATGCCCCGCCCCGACAGATGCCCGGATAGAAAGCCAATTCGCGATCCCCAATGACCTCCATTGTCTTATCGCCAACCTCAAACTCACACCTCTTGCATCCGTAATAGCCACCAGCACAGAGACCAAGGTATCGCCCGCCATTGCGAACAAATTGCGCGATGCGTCGGTTCCCCGCACCATTGAGTGTGCTACAGTATCCCATATCCGCGCCACCGGGCATGACCAGCATGGCGCATGTAGTCATCCATGGCTCCTTCAGGAGCATATCGCCTGTCACAGGGATGACGGCGTAGTGGTGGGCGAGCAAGCGGCGGAGAGTGTACAGACAGTGCCGGACTGAGTCAACGGTGGTTCCATTTCCTGTTGAGAAGTCATCGGTCAGAAAACGGCTCAGCTACTGGGTTGAGTAAAATAAGCGAACCGGAATAAACTAGGACATTGAGCCTTTTGCCAGAGAAATTGGCGTTGTTGCCTGTTGGCGTTGCCATTGTTGTTTCGTTGCAGAGGGAAATCAGTGCGATAAGGGAGTTCCATCCCCCGAGGCCAACCGCCCTTCTCCAACTTTCTTTACCATACCTCCACCATGTCGAACAACGTGGAAAAGACAGCTGTTATTCCGGATGATGATGATGAGCCGGATGATTGGTGAGGCGCTTTTCGGTTTTCTGGTCTGCGTAGTGCTAACTACAGCAGGGATAAACGGATCTTCAGCACAGGCTGCCATAGTAAGTTACACTCAATTTGAGTCACAAATATCATACTAACAACTACCAGCGGAGCAGGATAAGATGAATGACTGCTACTACGCAAAGAAGGACTGGCGCGAGTGTAAAAAAGAGGTGAGCTATAATATCCGCCAGGCCGAACATACATCATTCTACCTGAAGCCATTGGACAGCCAATTCTACAATGATCATCGTATAACTTCGTCAAACATTGATGTCCAATGAATTGAAGGAATAGCAAGCAGCTTCAATTATCCAGATCATACTGACTCTAGTCAACACAGATGGAAGCTTTTCGCGAGTGCTGGAAGCGCCAGGGCAACGACCAACGAACTCAGACCAAAGACGCATAATGTACTCTACTCATCCATAATCCTATGTTCAAATAGTCTCTTCCAATCAATCCCACTCAATATTCCCCCGATTAACCCAGCGTTGACGAGAACAAAGCTATCAACTCTATATCACGTGACGGCACGTATTCGCCTTGTTGCAAGAGTTCCCATCCTCCTTCCACTATCAACAACACAGGCCATGATGTCAGCTCCTCTCCGTATCCGGTCCTTGTGGGCAATTGAGACCCTCCAACATGCGACACAATTTCCACGCTCCTCAGGAGCACTCAACTTACGAACCAGCCAGCTCTCCAACCCCATGACCAAGAGAGGAATCAGCTACACCACCAAAAACCAGACCACCCAATCCACCGTCAAGCCTTCACCAGCATCTCCTGCCACCAAGCCCTCCCCTTCAGCTTCAACACCCATTCCAACCGGCGTCCCCGCATCCCGCATCCCATCCTCAACCCCCAACCGCGCAACAACCGAAAACATCTCCAAAACAGGTCTATCAGACAAACCCCTGGAGCTCGATAACCCAGTCGAAGATAAAATCGACTGGACGCGCTCATTTCACGGCCTGTCTGCCACGCCGTTCCCCAAAGAAGCAGCCGATATCCTGCTGGCGGAGATAGAACCAGATGAGGTGGAGATCAAGCCCGATGGGATCCTCTACCTGCCGGAGATCAAATACCGACGGATTCTCAACCGTGCTTTCGGTCCTGGTGGGTGGGGTCTCGTGCCACGAAGTGAAAGTATCGTTACGCCAAAGACGGTGACGAGGGAGTACGCTCTTGTTTGTAATGGACGGTAAGCACTTACATTTCCCCTTTCGTTTTGTTACGATCTCGAAACCTTATCTACCATACTTGGTTTCAATCTAGCCCAGCTTGTATTCAGTAACTAGAAATATAAGAAGAACCCCCAGCTAACACAGTTCTCTCACTACAGCCTCGTCTCCGTCGCCCGTGGCGAACAGGACTACTTCTCCCCAGATGGAATCCCTACTGCCACCGAAGGCTGTCGATCGAATGCGCTCGTGCGCTGCTGCAAGGATCTAGGCATTGCGAGCGAATTGTGGGACCCGCGGTGGATCCGCAAGTACAAGGCCAAGTATACGCGTGAAGTGTTTGTTGAGCATGTGGTTAATAAAAGGAAGACTAAGATCTGGACACGGAAAGATGATCCTGTTGGATATCCGTGGAAGGAGAGTGGAGGTAAATAGGCTAGAAGCGTTGGATAATTGGTGGCTAGCAGAGCTTTGGCTTTTACCTAGACCTGGTCAGACTTGTATTATATAAATTTGTATTCGATCTATGTTAGATAATGGGAATATTATCTGTCTCTCTGCTCCGTATTTCTGTTAGAGTGATTCAACCATGGTAAACTACCAAATCACAGCTGAATTTTCTATAGGAGGCATAAAGCACCTTTCTAGATAGTGCCTGTTGAGAAGGTTGACACCTGTTCAGCAGCAGATCCAGTGGTCATGCAGTAATATAGATCACGACAGAAGAATAAAAGAAAAAAAAAGAAAGTAGATTTGGTTTTAAACCCCCAAAAATCGGGAATAGCATATCTTCGTAGCCGCATACCACGAAGGGTCGGGAATTTTGATGCGGCTCAAAAAAACGCGGAGAAAAGAACCTATTGACATGACACACATAATATGAACAACCCAAGAAGAAAAGAAAAGAAAAAGATAGGTAGCCAAGGATGTGTGATCAGGAAGAATCAGTGATACAAAAGACAAGGAGAGAATGATTAAGCTTCATACTCCCCATAAGGAGACTTGTCCTTCCTCCTCGGCGGAGCAGTGTTGTAGGCACTCGCAGCCTGCTGCTGGGCCGTTGGCTGGGGTGGAGAGTAGATAGACGGCGGCGAGACGGGGTCATACCGATCAGAGAGCTGGTAGTTGCTGCTCGCCGTCACGCCGGAGATGTTCGGGTCCGAACCGCGACGGTCGCGTCCCGGTGTGTTTTCAGCGCTGTAGCCACCGATCGGGATCTGGTCGTAACCCGTGTCATGGGCGTAGTAGCCGTTGAAAGGGTTTGGATCTGGGGAGCCCACCATCTGAACAGTGCTCTGGTTTTGGTCATGGCCTGAGTGAGGGCGGGGCTCATAGCGGGCGCTGCCGCGGGAGCTTGGCTTGGGGGTCTCGAGGATGGGCACTTGACTTGAGGATGGGGTCATGCCGGCGGGGACTGGGGAGAGAGGGGCATTTCTATGCGCCGGGTGGATATCCTGCTCGTTGTAAGAGACGCGATCGCCGACCTTTCGGTGACCGGTTGACAAGCCGCGGTTGATTCCCTCGCCTCCAGGATGCAAATTTAGCTGGATGCCTTGGTTGGAAGTGTTGGTGGCAGTACGGTGAAGGGCATCCTCATTGCTGTTGTCGTTGTCCCGGCTGGTGTCAACAGCTGGGGGGCGGGCGTTGAGCATTTCGACGATGGCGGCTTCGCGCTCAGCGTTGGTCTGGGTGGATCCACGGTGAGTGACTGTTCCTGAGCGGGCCTGGTCGTATCCTGTCGACTGTGCTGTGTTTTCGTAGTTGAGGATACCTGCAGCAGCAGCGGCGACAGCGGGGTCAGGCTTGGTGGAGTCAACACCGCCGCCCTGGGTAGACTTGCGGCGACCTGCGCCTGCACCACTATCGTCACCCTTGTCATCGCCATCTGCGGCGTCGGCAGTCTCTTCTGCGGGAGCCTCAACACCCGGACCGCGAACCTGGATCTTGCGGACGGCTAGGACCAAGGCACACAAGAACTTGGATCGCCGGGCAGCACGAACAGTCTCGTTAGACCAGTTAGACTTGTGACGGATGTCAACACGCAGCTGGAGCTTGTCCATATCACCAAGGCCATCGAGCTCAATGTCAATATCCCGCTGGAAGTCACGGCAGTTCTCCTTGTCGCGAACGAAGCTCTCCATCTCCTGGCGCAGCAATTGAACCTCAGCGAAAGTGGTGTCGAACGCTACGGGAATGACAAGCTGTTCATGCATAGCATTGGCACGAGTGAAGTTGTCAACCCAGAGACTGTTCAGAATGTTGTTGGGCACCTGCGTGACACGGGCGTCTTGGACGTTGCGGAAGACAGTGAACAGAAGCGAGATACGCTCGACGACGAAAGGCACATTGCTAACCTCGACACGGTCGCCAATATCGAATGGATGCTTGACGAAGAGGAAGATGCAGGAACCGAGGACTTCTTGAGCGGTAACGGAGAAGACGAAACTGAGGGAGAGCAGCGAGGTGGCACCGGCTGCAATGACGGTACCGAATCCAGTGGTGACGAACGAGATGAAGACAAGAACGCCAACCAGACCAGCAACACACATGAGCAGGTTGTCCAGCACACGGATGGCCTGGTCAACGTCGTGCATGCTGTGGTTCAGGGCCTTTCTCATGCGTCCAAACTCAGTGATTGTCAGGACCATCTCGTCAAGACTGATATCACCATTGCCATCCTTGTCAAGCGCCATGAAGCACTCCTCGGCCTCAGCCTCATGTTCAGCACCCAGAACCTCGACGATATCATCCATATACAGAGCCTCACGGCCCTCAACCACAAATGACATCCAGATACGGCGGGCCAACGCAGCAGCATGGCGCTTGCGCTCAAGGGCCTCGATAACCATGGTGTGCGTCGCAGTCGGGTTAAACACTTGCTTACCAGTAAGCTCCGACGCCACGTGTCCAAAAGCGGCAGTGACCTTGTCGCCAACTCGGCCAACGTTCTTGCCGACATGACGGAGCATGCGGAGGGGCATCGCGGAAGACCGCTTGCCACCCTTGGTGCCAGCCTGAGCCAAGATGGAGTCGAAAATGAGCGAGTCCTCCTCCTTAAATTCAGGGCAGTACACCGGGAACATATTGCGCGAAGCCTCAAAGAGAAGCGTGACCAAATACACGTTGCGCTTGGAGATTTGAATCTTGGCGTCGAACTGCTTGCGGTGGTAGCTGATCGAGATCAGCTGCACAAGAGCTTTCTCGGCCAAATAGATGAGACTGCAGACGAGCAGCGCGAACAAAATATTCTTCACACTCTTCTCCCACGACTTCGGGGCCGTGTCACCAGATTCCTTCTTACCGGGAGTCAGGGTCATGACTGGCAGGAACGTCACGAGGGAGATGATAGCCCAGATCACAAGCGCAATGGGAGTCTCAAGGGCGCGCAGGATAAGCGCATACTTGCGGGTACCGGAGCTGACGATACCGCACAAGAACTGGAAGAAATAAGGAATGTAACGGGCGAAAATCTTGGACGCCCACAAACTGAACCAGACGATCTCAATCCAAGTAAAGAACCAGTAAATATGAACACCACCAATTTTGGCGTCCTGCGCAGCTGTAGCGCCCACAATGATTGGAATTGCGATCAAAATCGCGATGGGAATAACATAAATCAGGTAACGAGTGATGAGGGAGTAATTCAAGACAGCTTGGTAGAAACGCCCCATACGGTTGATAGTGCCGTCCTCGGGCGCTTCAGCAGGCTTTCCGGACAATTCATTGATATCGGTATCCGTACGACGCCTGCGGCCAGGACCACGATGATGGTGGTGACCAACGATAGGTGCTTTCTCCCCGGTGTGCGAGGTACCATCATCGGGGCTGGTATTGGTGTTCCATTTACGGGCGCCCGTCTGACTACGGGAAGTGGTCTCCGTTAACGGGATATCAATGGTCACGTCGTTGGGATTCAACATCCCATTGCCATGGTCCGGCATATCGTGTAGTTGCTCAAATCGATGAGCCGTCAGTCGTCTGGTGGAAAGACTGGGACTTCCCATCGCAAGGAACTGGGAGGGCAGACAGGGCCTTTATTTTTCGCCGACGCCGATCCGCCCCTAAATCCAATGGTTTCGATTGGGGAGGGGGCCTTCGTGTCTATGGTGGAGACACGTGAAAAATAGTACCGTAGTAGGACACAAACGGTTCGTAGCCCTGGCGTTTTTCGCCTCCCCCTCGCCGGGTAAATCACAAAGCTCCGCGGCCGCACTTGTTTTTCTCGTGATAGCTACCGGCTGTGGGTGGCGATGCTTACCGGACCAGTGTGTGTGGACTTCGGGAGTCGATCGTTCAATGTCAATGGTCAAGAAGTTGGTGGAGATGCAGATCGACAAATTGGAATTGACAATCAAGATGATTCAAAACTGCCGTATGTACAGTAAACGAATGACTGAATCTAAGAGAGTGACAAGTGCAAAAGAGAGAAGGATCAGACTGACTTAAGAAAACGCGAACCCATAGACTCATCGGACATGCCGTGTTTCAGCAGGACCCGTTGGGGGGGGAACGGGCAAAAATGTGAGACCGCCTTCTTTCCCCTGTGGAATCCTTCCAGGATCATCATTCGTTGTCTCTCATCTTAGTTCATTTCCTTATTCCCGATCGACTCTAGACTACTGGGGACTTTCTCCATATCGCCTTATATGGCGTTCCCCTCGCACTGACAATCTATCTGTATCCCTGAACAGGATGGTGAACGCGAATGCCAACATGGATGCAGGTCCACTATGACCCCACATCTCGATGTGTCTGATTATCCAATAAACAGCCCCTATCAGCGGGTGGCTTAAGATCAAACAAGTCAACGGAGTATTCAGCAAGCCAACGGGAAAGAAGCAGATCGATTCTAGATGCGTCAGACGCGCATACCAATATAACTATTTTTTGGTACGCAGGGGATGAAGATCCTGCTTGACGCTATTACGCACGCGAGTCAACATGCATCTTCTCCAGCGCAGCAACAACCTGTTTCCTATCCCAACCACCCTCCAACCCCCGTACAACAATATTCTGCTCACTTTCCGGTGCCATACCACCCAGCCCCGGTGGCCTTTGATCCAAGTTCGTAGGGAAAGGATATCCCTCCGCAACAGCTTGCACAAAAGCCCTAATCTCCCTCTGCTCCATCGAATGCTTCTCAGGATCCAGTTCCTGTCCCGCTAAACCCCCAGCGTACCGGAACCGCTCCACAAGTAAATCCCAAGCGGCATCAACAAGCGGCACCGAATCAACTGTCTCCATAGGTTTCCCAAACGCACTACTAATTTGTAGCAGATTCGCAACACGTCGGAATCCCCCATCCTTGGGATCCATCTGATTCTCACCAGCAGCATGGAAAAGCGCTGGATTGAAAAATAACCCGTCTCCGAAACTCAATGGAAGCGCAACATAATTCTCTTGGAAGAAAGCACGGAACTCGGGCTTGCGCCACGCCAGATATCCAGGCTTGTACGTCTGACTGAAAGGTAGGAAACGTGTTGGCCCGCTCTCGATGGGCATATCGCTATGCGCAACTGCACCCTGCAGCGTCAGGAATTGTGACGTCAGCTGTGTCGTAGCCGGGTAGCGCTTGCAGGCAACTTCTTCCTGGAACCCGAGATGGTAGTCGCGGTGTGCTTCCTGTGCAGCGCCACCCGGGTGTACAGCGTTGACTTGAGCTGTGACACGGTATGCTGGACCCAGCCAGGACTCGGAGACTGCTGCTAGCCATGGATTCGAGTAGTAATCAATGAAGGAGGATGGGTCTTGCAAGGCGTGTTTTGAGAAAGCGTTCCAGATACGGTCGTTCGTGCCACCTACGGCGAAGTGGTCACCCTTCTTGCTGTTTGAATGTGCGGATTCGTGAGCGACGATTGCGTTGAAGGCGGTATTTGTGTCGTTTAGTGTTGTTTCATATTTTGTCAGCGCGTACATTGATCGTAGCACGTAGACGCCTGGGCCTGTGTGGAGGATGTGGTGCCATTCATCTTGGAGGCGGTTAATGAGGTCTGCAGTTAGGCCTGTAGATTCGAGGGCGGCAAGGTCGTAGATAGGAATGTTGAATTGGACTTCGTTGGCTAGTGGATAGGTTTCTGGGTTGGTGATTTGCGAGCAGATATCTTTGAATTCGGAGAGTTGAGGAGTGGATGGGGAGTAGAGACGGGAGGAAACTCGACTGTTCATGATTATATCGTACTTTTGTATCCAGTATATATATCAGGTGAAGCATGTGTTATCCCAATGCCTTCAGTTCACCGTTTAAATATTTTTAGGGCGGAAATTAATGTCCATCGGCTCCCCGCATTTTAGGTCGGAGGCTGGACATCAAGTTGCGACTCGGAAAAAGGTTTCCGTCCAAAGATGAGGTCCAAAATAAGAGCAAAAGAATTCTAGACCTAGATGGGTATCACAGCTATCAAGCAGTATAGTACAGGTCTACCGCTACCACTGAAGCACAAAAAAAAAGAAGCCAAATAAACCATTCAGTCCTCCCAGACGCCAAAAACGCAATAGGAGAACGCCTCGCGCAGGAAAGCTTTCATGTCTCGTAAAAAAGACCAGGCTCATGCATAAAATAAATGGCATCCCTATGTGTGTGCCTGTTTCATAAGATTCAAATAATCCCAACCCACGCAAATCTATGCTTGAATTTCAAAATCAAACGTCTTTTTTTGGCCATAAGAGAAAAGCAGGCGCGGGAAAGAATTTCGTAAACGGTGCGTGACTGGGCCACTGGGCCACCCGTGGCAATTCATGTTCATGCATTCATCATGACCGCTCCGAGGTCCGATGTGAGGACTGAGTCGGAGGGTGTGGGTGGATTCGTTTGGGATTCGTTGAGGATGAGAGTGTGTTCCGACATCGTCTCGAGCAGGGCACTCGGCCTTCCAGTAACGGTGAAGAGGACTTTCAAGAGGAGGGTGGGGCCTTGACCGTTGAGACCACCTTGTGGTTGGCGCCGGGTGTGTGTGAGCAGCACGCGGACGAGGTCGCGAATTGCGCCGTCCGTAGACGAATTGTGGATGGCGTCTAGACCGTCAATTATAAAGACCAGGAGTGGTGGGGCAGATTGTAAGAGGGTGTCGACTAGCGATAGAGCAGCTTTCCAGCTGGTGAGGGTTCCGTCTAGTTGGCGGAACCGCTCAGCACTGAGATCCAGGACAGCGTCGCTGTCGACTAAGGGAGGGAGCCAGTCGATTAATTGCCGGATTATACTATAGGTGAGGGCGACTAAGCCTTGCTCCTGTAGATTCAGACCTTTGACTTCTTGGTCAGGAAGGGCGCAGAAATGGGAGACGACGGGCAATCGAGCGTGACGTGCGAAGGAGGCATAGCAGGCTGAAATTAGAGCTACCGGGTCGAGGGAGGCGGTAGGTTGAGTCCCGCCCACGGCTAGGGCCTGAGATCGCGAACTGGTGGCCCATTGCTGTAGAGAGTCAACGATACTACCCTCCGCAAGAACCTTGACATCGGGTTCGTAGTCGCAAATCTGATCGTCACTATCGAAGAAGTCCTGGAGGTGTTTGGATGAGCTTTGAATTTCGAGTCGTGCGAGACGGCGCTTGGATCCCCTCGACCATTCGAAAGAGGATGTGTCTATCCGATTGCGTTAGATGGTGGGAAGTTTGCAAGATACATATTGGCATCCTACCTATATTTGGAGCTGGAGGCGTAGTTATGCAAACAATGCCATTGCTCTGTTCACTAACCGGCTCCAGTTGCTCGCGCACAGAGCTCAATGTCTCTGCCAACAACCGATCTCGACCCTCCCTATACCGAATACGCTCCTCTGCGTCTTGCTGAATCTCCCAAATGAGCCGTCGTGTAATGGTATTTTGTGCCGCTATCCGACGGTCCTTCCCTCGACGTCCTACTTGGCTGAGTCGAGACTCCTCCCAAAGTGCCCGAGGGCTCTCCGGGTCCTCCTCCTCATTGACGTCCATTGTCACATGCTGCCATGGAAGGTTCTGTGCTTGCAGCTGTATATAGAGGACCAGGTGATGAAATTCCGAGTACACATCCTGGCTGTGCATATTCAGCAACTGGCAGGTGGATCTCCGAACATACCAGTCCATGAATTCGGTCAGAAAGAAAAATATTAGGGCGTAGGTTTTCGTGATATATTCCACGGCGTTTGAGAGTATGCTAGAATCGCTAGGAAGACCTAGAGCATCGTGAATATTTAGCAGGGCAGTAGCTAAGCCCTCCATTACCCGTGGGTAATGGGACGATGCCTGAGCCGTATGTTAGCAATACGACGAAAATTGCAGCACCGATCATCCACGCACCTTGATCACCGATTGTAGGACTCCGTAGAATAAAGGGGTGTAGGCCATAGGGTCCGGAAGAGTAGAAAGGAGGGTCGCGTGAGTGTCGACAGTCGGAAGGAGTCGATCACACAAGTCCATGGAGTCGCTAAAGACCCGTTGGCGGGGACGGGCCATCCAAAATGCCTTGATGTTGCCGAGTAAAGTCTGGACATCGAGTACCGTCTGCGGCCGCTCCTCCCATTGAACCTGATCCTGGGGTAGAAGGAGGCTGATAAACCGTTTCCAGGTGTGGGCCAACTCATTCCGTTCGATATCGAGTTCGGCTATGGCAGGGATTCTGGAGAAATATGGGGGTTAGGAGAAAGAGACACTCTACTATGTCATCATTTCCGCAAGTGTATGGCTTACGTCGAGATTGGCTTCCCGTCAAAGCGGTGTTGCCAGGCCCTGGCAGTCTCAGGCATGATGCCACGTTGATAAAGACAAAGCAGTGGTTCCTTTCACGACATGTCCTGAAAAGGAATGTCAAGGGAAGAGAATGGAAAGGGAGACTTGGACTTTGGCGGGTTTTGCCGCTTAAAGAGAGAGAGGGGGGGAGGCTAAAAAGCTAAAAAGAGAAGAGAGGAAGATGTTACTATTAATACTTTTTTTTTCTATCTGTTTTTTTGTCTATTAAGATGATCTAGATCGTGTCTTGTCTGACTTTATTTCACTTGACTTTGGTTATTTTTTGGCCTTTCTGTTATTTTTTCTGCTTTTTGCTGGGAATATTTTTTTCCCACAGTACTAAAATGCAATCTAGGCCTGATGAGAGCCGAGGCCCTCCGAGGAAAATGAACTTTTCGAATATTCAGAATATTTGAGTACAAGAATACACTGGGATTAAGTGATGAGACATAGGATATATATGAAAGAATACTATACATGATGTTGAACTATGCTATACTATTCTATACTATGTTCTAGTGATGATAGTGATTATAGTATATCAGTTCAGTATATAAAGCGGGGACTAGTTTACTTCAAACGCTTCCCTCCCCAGGTGTTCGTGTCTCCAGGTTTCATGCTAGGTCTGGAGAGAATTGAGAAAAGGCATCAAAGAACTTGATAAAGTTTTAATTCTTGGACCATTTGGAGAACTCAAGTCCTCTTTGCTTTTTTTCTCTCGCTTTCGCTTGGGTCATAATACTCCGTATGTTGTACACGTTGCATTAATTTATTGTCCAATCCAACTATCTAGGATCTGCGGAGCTTTAATCGCATAATGATCTGAAGAATTTTGATGTCAGACCATGGGTATGATCCGATTAAGTGTTTCGGGCCTAGGGGTGAAGGCGCATAAAAAGCGGAAGTTCGGGATGTGAAGGGATGTGAAACGGGTAAGTTGTGCGAGTACTAACGAATACGAGAGCGATGAATATGAGTAGGTCCAGCGATGACGTTTATATGAATGTATTGAGTGATCGTCGATGCGTTATACAATACATTAAAGTGGATGCATGGAAACTTACATAGGAAATAGTCTGGAAGCAGTTATATATAATAAGATATAATGAAGTACAGTACACCTATACGAAGTACATCAAAGAATGAAATTCAATGCAACTTAAGTATATTATGTGTCTTAGATATTATACACATAATATGGATAAATAGGATAGAACATCCTAATCTCTCTCCGCTTTGATCCCCTGGAGATTTAGGGCCGATCCTCTCTCACTCTCCCCTCACCTTTTTTCGGGTTTCCCGGTTTCCCTTCTGCATTTGACTAATGTGACCCCCACATTATTCTCCATAATGGGGCTGTCTCTTTTCTTTCTCTTGTTCATCTCAGTGAAAGCAGTGGTGGTTTCATTGCCATCAAATACTACCGACATCCCCATTCAATCCACTGGGTTTCGTATTGAGGGAACCAATCTGACTGGCCAAAAGCTTGTCCCCTTAACCCCATTGCTGATTGAATCGACTACGGCCCGACTCAAGGTGCTTTACGCTCCCATTTAAATAATGGGGCACTGCTGACATGTCCAGGCCTTTAATTTCTCTGGCACTCTCACTCAAGTCATCCCAAGCAATTCCCTGGATTTACAGAGCTCGCAAATCGCTTGCATATCTTGCGACCAGGACGACTATACCGGAAATATCCGAGTCGACGAGACAATTGAATACGTCACCTCTGCTCAATCCGCTGCTAGCATTCTGCTATATAGTAAAACAGCTACCGGCTGCAACTTCACTTCCGATGATCAGACCGCTGGACGCTTTCCCAATATCTTCACCTTCACAAGCCGAACCGGTTATCCCGCGTTACTCCGTGCGTTCGATCAACCAACGACTATCAGCATCGTCTCAATGTCCTCCTATCCCAACGGTGTCCCTATTGAGGACGATGCCCCCACCACGAGTGACAGTCCAAATACTGGTCTGTATCTCGGCTTTTCTCTACTTTTCAGTCCGTTGACTTCTCTCTAGCCATGATCATCCTGTACAGCATCACAGGTATCATCACCGCCCTGTTCCTAGGAATCATCATCACAGGTGCAGTTAGGGCCCATCGCCATCCAGAGCGATATGGTCCTCGCCGGATTGCCGGACGAGTCCGACAAAGCCGAGCTCGAGGTATAGCTCGAGCCATGTTAGATACCATACCGGTCGTCAAGTTTGATGACAAAAACGATGACGTGGAGGCCGCCAAAAGAGACGTGGAGATGTCCATCAGTGCTGATGATGCTCGCGAGCACTCCCCCAGGCCGATATAATCACCACTGTGGTATCGACGCCCCGCGAGTCCGAAATGCCAACCCCAGATAACGAGCGCCCCACTCCCACAGCCCCCGAAGCCAAGACCGAGATGCCCGATGGAGGTAACTTCTCGTGTCCGATTTGCACAGATGACTTTATCAAGGGCCAAGACCTACGTGTCCTGCCCTGTAACCACCAGTTCCACATGGAATGCATTGATCCATGGTTGATGAATGTGTCCGGCACCTGTCCCCTTTGGTACGTTCGCGATATTGACATTGATAACATCTCATCTCCCCTATACATGAAACCCACTAACCATGTCGCAGCCGCATCGACCTCAACCCCCCTCAATCCGAAAACCCAGAGGAAAACGAAGAAAATGCCGATCAACCCGACCAACCACACGGAGAAGGCGCAGTCCTAACGACGGAAGACGCCCGCCGGCAAGCCCGTCAGCAAGCTCGCCACACGCATCGCCGTCTGACCAACTATCTGCACGGACCTCTCAACGCCCGACGAATGCGTGACGCTACCGTCGAGGAGCGTCTCGCCGCGCTGCGACGCGTCCGTGAAGCAAACCAAGTCGACTCCTCGCCCCAAGAAGGACTACACCGTGGTTTGACCACCCGACTACGCGATCGCTTCCGCATTCGAACGCGCGCTCACGGTGCCGAAGGTGAGACATCCGCTGACACCGATCCTGCTGCGCCTTCTCCGGCGGCTCCGACGGCCGTCCATCTTACACCATCTACTGCCTGATGGATGATTCACTGCACATATCACACTCCTTTACGTTTTTGCATATATTTTGATTTACGATTCGGATGATCTCAGGTCCTCGGTAGGAGGCTATCTGGCGTTTTTTTTTTTTTTTTTTCTTCATGAAATCTTTCGAAAGAGCATTGGCGTTTCTTGACTGGGGGGTGGAGGAAAAGAGAGACTGGTTTCCGACTTGATTGTATCTGTTTTCTTCTCTACATATACTTTTTTGTATATCATGGATATAGGGTCACATACATTTTACATACATTTGGGTTTATGCAAATAAATATGAGAGATCAAGACATTGCCACGCAGCTCGGAAGGTCTAGACTCAGATATCGGCATCATCCACAGACGATTAGAAAAATATAGTTGAGGCTGTGCCAGGTCAGGTGGGCGGTACCATGACACATCGGATCTTTTCTCTTCATTACATCGGCTTGGACAGGGCCATCTGGGAAGGGCTAGGTACCTACCTACCTACCTAGGTGTATATGGCCTTAGTAAGGTATGACAGGGTCCACGGGTACCCATAATGATGTTACGATCGCCAGGCACGGCGAGTCACCTTCCGGCCCTATGGAGTGACTAATGCCCAGGTAATTGCATCAGCGGCTGACACAAATCTGGTTTCACATTTCACCGGGTACTTTATGTACACACCGTGCGTATTTGGAGTATGAGATATATTATCAAAGGTCTCTTTCTATACTCCGTATTTCATATCTACATAGATATACGTCCCATAATAACATATTCACCCCGACACCCTAACATCGGTAGATTATCCGCTCTGTGGGGAATAGAATCGGACCAAGTCCGCCCTGGCAATTCTTCAATTCTCCGGAGTCCCGGGATCCTCCTGATTTATTGTGTGGGGGGATGACACATCATGAATAGTCTCGAATTGATTTGGGGAAGGGGAAAGTGTCTCCGCACAGAATTCAACCGGTAGAACATACTCTGTACTGAATACCGCACGTAAACAAATATGTACTCCGTACTCCGTACCCCGTAAGTATATAGCAATTAGCAATATAGCCGTGGACAAATCTTTCTGCCGAGACTTCCATCATGCAATGACCTTCTTCCAAAAGGGTCTCCACAGTGCGTCTTTTTTTCGTCGGAGTTGTATGACACACGATTCTTGGTCGGCGGATGTGGCCTGTCGGAGAAGGGGAATTGGAGATTTCAATCAGATGTTTTGCTGAGCATTCTGTGTTACTAGAATAATCCTTTGATAACTAATACTTTTGTGTATAGCTGATACATACATAGTTTTAGTACATAGTTATGTTGATGTATTGATATACTGGCATGTGAACTCGGTGATAGAACGAGAAAGATACGGGAAAATCCCTCGGTATCTTGTGCGCCGAGGGTAGAGAGCTTGAAAGATAAACAGAAGATATAAGATATCGAAGGACTTTGAAAAATACTTTGTATATTTTTTTTTTTTTCAATTACAATCGTGCGATCTTGCGATTTTCCCCCAATACTCCACCCCCTCATCCGGTGAACGCAAGCAGGAATATCCCGTTTTGGTGTCAGATTCCGGGGAAACATACGTACCAGTATTTTTGGTTTATATAATTCACCATGTCGATTCAATCCGCGAAAGATCGTCTTTCTTCTCTATCATCACACATCATGGGTTCCTCTAATCCGTCAGTATTTACCGCTGCCACTGTGGCTGCCGCCCCCGAAGATCCTTTGTTTGGTCTTATGAAGGCGTATCGCGAAGACCCCTCCGATAAGAAAGTCGATCTCGGCATTGGTGCCTACCGTGACAACAACGCAAAGCCTTGGATTCTCCCTGTTGTCAAGAAGGTGATATCTATACTATCTTGAGATATGCAGTTATCTAACATCTACATGCATAGGCCGATGACGCCATTCACAACGATCCCAGCCTTAACCACGAATACCTCTCGATCGGTGGTCTCGCCGAGTTCACATCCGCCGCCCAGAAACTGATTGTCGGAGCAGACAGCCCTGCAATCCGTGAAAAGCGAGTATGTGTCTTCTACTCACATATACCTCTCAATATACCCCTCCCAAGACCTCAGCTAACCCTTCCCCCACTAGATCTGCACCCTGCAAACAATCTCAGGCACCGGCGCCGTCCACCTCGGCGGCCTCTTCCTCTCCAAATTCCACCCCCAAAAGCCCGCAATCTACCTCTCAAATCCAACATGGGCGAACCACAACCAAATCTTCTCAAATGTCGGCCTCACCCTCGCAAAGTACCCCTACTTCTCAGTGAAAACCAAAGGCCTTGACTTCACCGGCATGATCTCCGCCCTAGAAGCCGCACCCCACGGCTCCGTCATCCTCCTGCACGCCTGCGCACACAACCCAACAGGCGTCGACCCAACCGAAGACCAATGGAAGCAAATCGCAGAGCTCATGCGCTCCCGCTCGCACTTCCCCTTCTTCGACACGGCCTACCAAGGCTTCGCATCCGGCGATCTGGTCCGTGACTCCTGGGCCATCCGCTACTTCGTCGAGCAGGGCTTCGAGCTCTGCGTCGCCCAGTCTTTTGCCAAGAACTTCGGTCTGTACGGTGAGCGCACTGGTGCCTTCCACTTCGTCTCGGCTCCCGGCCCAGACGCCGCTGCTGCGTCGGCCCACATCGCTTCCCAGTTGGCTATCTTGCAGAGATCAGAGATCTCGAACCCGCCTGCTTATGGTGCGCGCATCGCTAGTCGTGTCTTGAATGATCCTGTTCTCTTTAAGGAGTGGGAGGCGGATCTACGCACAATGAGTGGACGTATTTTGGAGATGAGGAAGGGGTTGCGGGATCGTCTTGAACAGCGCGGTACCCCTGGTTCGTGGGATCATATTACTTCGCAGATTGGAATGTTCAGTTTCACCGGTCTGTCGGAGGAGCAGGTCATGACACTGCGATCCAAGTGGCATGTTTACATGGTATGTGTTCCTCTCTTATTCGAGGTGCTTTACACGTTTGGAATTGCGGTTGCTAACTCTCGTTTTCCTCTTAGACAAAGAATGGCCGCATCTCAATGGCTGGCTTGAACACGAATAACATTGACTACTTCGCTGAGGCGGTTGACAGTGTTGTTCGTGAGTCTGCCAAGTTGTGATAACTACCTGATACCCTGGTCTCAAATAGAGTGGACACACTCGAGTAGCTTTGGTCTGGCGTTCTATTTGCTTTTGAAGAAATGTTTCTTTTTCCATTGTGGCAGTTTGGAAGGACTCTCATAATGCATTACTTTATCATAGTGCTCTAGGATTTTGTTCTTGATTTCGTATTTCTTTAGATACACTGTAACTGTGGGTCTTGCATTAAATATCACATGCATCACATGTAAATCATAGTTATAGCAATGGGCATTGAAACCGTTGGATTATTTTGTTCAATGGTCTGTGCAGTAAGTTAGGAGAGTTGACCTCGTTCGTTCGCATTGGAAGGTATAATCTCGGTTCACTCGGCCGGGCTGGACTCTCAATACTAAGGTCTATAGGAAGTACACAGCCTCGGCCGTATCATGATTGAGAAAGGGACCTTGATAATATGCTACATCTCAATTAAATAGACATAATGGTATCGTTTAAAAAGGCCTGCTCTTGAAGCTTCTAAGAAAAAGCCATCCAGCAGTGCCGGGACTAAAAGACCAAATCCCAAACCACAAGCCAGGTACACAACCCGACAGTACCCCAGAAGACAGCCTGAGCCGTACTCCGTCGCTCAGTAGCACGCTTCAGCTCCCGATTTCCCTGCCCGACATTCATCTGCGTCGTATCCACATCCGAGATAAGCTGAGAAATGTGCTCCTCCTGCGTAGCGAGATGCGAAACCAACGTTTCTTGTAAAGAGGATATCTCAAGGAGAGATTTCTCGGCGTTTCTAAGAGAGTACACTAACATTAGCCTCATCGTTCGACAAAACCAAGCCTCAAAAGGCAACACGAAAAGAAACATACTGGACTTTCCCTAACGTATCCTCATAATGCTTAAGCATAGAATCATTCTCCTCAGCAAAAAGCTGCAACTGCTCCGGCGAAAGCTGCGCCTCGATCCGCGCCGTATCCGCCTCACTCAGAACCGCCGCACCAGGCGCCTGGAAAGCAGGATCGAATCCTCCCCCGACTCCAGTGCCAGTCTTCTCAGACATAGAAACAGACCCCTTCCGGGCTCCGTTCCCACTACCACCAGCAGCCTTCCCCGCACTAACCTTATAAAGCACACTCTTCTCCTTCTCCCGCACCCTCTCGATCCGTTTTTCAACCATACTCCGCTGTACACTCACAGCACTCTCAAGCCCGCGCCGCAGGAACCAAAGCACGCTCTCGCGGATCGTCGCTATCGATCTTGCATTCTCCTCTGCGCGTACCTGCTCAGCGGACTTGCCCTCGTCGGCGCTGGCGCTATCTAATGCGCCGCTACCGCCGGCCCAGCGCCAGAGGAGAGCACCGGCGGCGGAGTGGCCATATTTCTTGTGGAGGAGGGTGGAAGAGGTTTCTTGGCGGAGAGATTCGGCGGAGGAGAGGTTTGCGATTGAGCTTGCTAGGTCGCGGAGGAGGAGGGCTGTTGATGTGTCCACTGCGTCGCGTTCTGTATCTGTGAGGTTTTCTTGTGGGGTTGGTGTTGGGAGTGCATTTTTCGGGTTCGGGGTGGGTGTTCTTGTGTTTTGATTGCGGCGTTGGGGTTGTGTTGTTGAGAGGTAGGCGTGCCGGATTGATTGGAGGTATTGAAGTAGTGAATGGATGTGAGAGTTCTGATTCTTTGTTAGGGGTTCTTTTCTGCTTTGCTGCGATTTGGGGATAGTGGGTGTGAGTGCGGAGGACGTGGCTTACGATTCGGTATGCCTCCTTTAGGAACTCGTCGGCGGTTTCTGTGCAGGGTTTTCTTGTTTGAGGGAGAGATGAGCCTTGCTTTGAAAGCAGCTTATTGAGAGTTGGTGTTAGGTCGGTCATTGTGGGCGTGGCATGGTCTGAAACGTGTGTAGTGTTGCTGCTATACAACTGTACACTTGTCGATCAACGTCACTGCGCGGGTGGTCTATCCCGCACCCCGCATTTGTTTATACTTGCAACAGAGACGAGATCAAGAATGCCACCAACTATCTGGGATTATTTTGGCATTTGCTTCTCTTACTGTCATCATGGGGCTCATCAATCTCCAAGTGAAGATGTTACTACACAGAACTAACTCATCTAACCACTACACTACATAACCTTCATCACATCCATCTGCAATGGAGGAACCAAAGGTCTACGTTTTACGGGTCTCGCCTGGATCCCCGGACGGCGAACACATGGTCACAGTGGTACCAAATGCCAAGGACATGTCCAATCAAGAAATGCAAGAGATTCTCCTGGCCGTGGCCACACCAGCGCATTTGTTTTTCCCCGCACCAGCAGGCTTCGAATTTTGCCACTTCGAGATTCGGCTCTGGGCCCCATATTATGAGCTAGAGAGGTGCAGCCATGCCATGATTGGAACTATGTGGTTACTGTCGAAGCTTGGGATGACGCCACAGGACAACCTCCACATCGTGACCAAGGGCGGTCTCATGGAAGCAAGGGTCATGAAGGCTGCAGAGGATACAGACAGACCAAAGGATGCTGGGACATCTGGGTCGGAATATTCCATCCAAAGGTTACAATCCTGGATGATGTGAGTAAGGGACATGCTGACGCCATACTTTCTGATCTGGATATTTCAAGAGATGAACTGGCACCTGCATCAAGAATCCAGAATGCTGGCATGAGCACGGTGAAGACGCTGCTTCCGCTCCGATCGATTGAGAAATTGATCGATATGGATTTGGACTATTGTCGTGCCAAGAAGCTCTGCGACAAGGTTAAAAGCACTGGTTTGTACGTGTATGTCGTCGTCAACCGCGAACTGCAGATGTACGAAGCGAGGGAGTTTCCTAAAGATTTTGGATCTTGGGAGGACAATTCGGTTGCTTTGGCTTTGGTACTGCTGCTAAATGATTTCCTCCCTAACCCTCATCAGACAATCCGGATCAGACAGGGTTGGGCTAAGGACCGTCGTGGTGAGATTAATTTGAGGTTTAGAAAATGGGGGAATCAGGTCGTTGGCTGTTGGATCGGAGGCACTGCCAAGTTTGAAAATGAGAAGGCAGAGACTGTAAAGATAATGCACGAGGAGGCTGATACTTGGTAGAGACTGGAGAGACCTGGGATTGATCTGTGATGAACATCTAACCGGTGTCTTAAGCAAGTCTGGATTGAAACAACTCCAACACATTGACACGTATTGACCTATCACCTGCCTTTTGAATTCTGGAGTGTTGAGTAAATTATAGCAGATATTTCAACCAGGGAAGTTATAACCACAAAATTAGGAGTCTGATATAGCTCGTCCTGGTAATTGACCAAGTGGCGACAAATCCATACACTAGCCGAGCATCACATACTTGATAGGCCATAGATACATCCTTTGACAAGGATATGAAGTTCTAGACAAAGATCAATCCTAAATCAATTTTCCATTGGCGGAAACAACCATGTCTATACCTATAACGTTAAACGTCTCGTTTCATGGCAGACAAGGGATCAGCCAAGTTTCAGTTCTGTCGTCCACACGTCACCTTCGTGACACAGCATAGTCGTTTGCCCTTAATGAGATAATTTTCTTGCTTAAAGGCGAATTCTTTTCCTTTCCAACAGTCATCAAATCTATCTCTTCCACCACACACACATATCCACAATGGCTCGCCCATCACAAAACACGCATCCAGCAGCAACATCTACTGAGCTGCCCACCCTACACTGGGCCCCGTCCATCAAACGGTCAATCACTTCAAGTTCCATACCACGCCAAAAAGACCCCCTCGTGTCGAGCTTTGGCAATGCCACCGATGACAAAAGTGACAAACTCCGCGACTACCACCACCAAATCAAAGCAACTCTCACAAATATGCTCAACGACGACCGGATGAAGCATAACCCCAGTGGAAGCCGCTGCGTGCAGAAGGTACTATTGGAAAACGAGAAAGACATGCGGAAACAACGGAGACATTCGCTCAGTGCATGTCCTGCTAAGCGAACCATGCTCTTTTAAATGCACTGCTAGTACAAGAATCAACAATTATGCTTTTTTTTCGTTAAGGTAAATCATGTTAGTAGATCATAGTATATTGTACGTCAAGCGCTGATATCTGTCCCACACGGGTCCCCGGTCTTTGTTTCTAACGGCGGCAATATTTCTCAGTATCAATTTGATTGTCGAGTCATTTCTGTCTTGCAAGACAAGAGGGGCTCGTTAGTTTACTATAGACCGTGTTGACCTGATCTATCAAGGTACCTCACACCCATGATTAGGTGTTTTCCCGATTGAAGCACTACTGCAATGTCCCCGTTCCTATATTTAGACCCAGAGTGAGAAAGAATCACATTAGTATTTTCATGCATTGATATCTCCATGCTAAATACGCAAAACAGGGTATAGACAAAATCACGATGCTAATATCAACAAGAAGTCCAATCGCCATGCATCAAATCATTGCACGTTCTTCCACCCAAATCTAAAAAAAAAAACATCAGTCAGGGGATGTCTACAGAGAAGGACAAATGATGAACTCACCTCGATCTTCCCCATCTCACTTCCCTCCCGTCGAGCGACCTCCTTCGCCGAACTAACCAGCAAATCCAGATCTTCCTGATCTACCATCGTGATCATGTCCCCATCATCCTGCACCTTCATCTTCAGAGGAGACTTGAAGCCAAACTTCTCGCGAATGCGATTTTCAAATTCCCCAAACTCGATCTTCGGCCCAATCATGATGTACCTGGTATCGTCAGGTGCGTGTACTTTCGTTCTGAATTTCTGAATCTCCGGTCTTCGAGGATTCGCATGGCGAGCGTATCGCGCCGGAGAGCGAGTACGACGTTGTTGAGGTGGGTGGCTCGGACCAGCCTGTGGGGCAGCGACGAGTTCGAAAGCGCCGTCGTTGAGGGTGGTTGCATCGCATATGTCGCTGGCATATTCTTCCTCTTCATCGATGTATTGGGGTGGTTGGTGGCGGGACCCGCGGCCCCAGCCTGTGGTTGCTAGGTTGCGCTGACTTGAGTAGGGGTCGTAAGGGTCTGAGTGGCCGTAGTCTTGTTCTGGGAGGAAGTGCTGGTTTGTGTTTGTGTCGCTGAGGTTTCTGCGGTGGCCGGATTGTTCACGCAGGCTGCTTCGGCTGCTCTCCGGTTGATATCCACGCATGTTACTTTGTCGTGAGGATGGTCCGCGCGGCTCTGAAGCTGTTCGCGTTGTTCCTATCCGGGGCTTTTCGGTGGGTGGTGGTGCTAGGTCTTGTTGGTAGGGTCGGCGGTCTAGACTGGCACCTGCACGATCTAGGTCTAGACGTGGTGGGCGGACAGTTCGGAGGGATGATGATCGGTGGTGTCCAGATGTTGATTGGCTTCCTGATCCAGATGCTGTGCTGACGGATCGGTCGTCTGGTGGTGGTGTTGGGGGGAATACGTTGCGATTCAGGGGTGGCTCAGATTGTTGGCGAGTGCGGCTGCTGATATTCTGGCGGACTAGGTGGGATGCGGCAAAGGGGACTCCTTCGCGACCTTGGAGGGGTTCTTTATCAGCAACTGTTGGGTTCCATTGGTGATCTGATGATTGATTGCGGTCTGAGGCAGCGACTAGTCGAGCCTTGCCGAGGTAGTCTTTTGTTTTGAGGTTCTTGACTTTGGCTGCGTTGGGGCGATAGAGAACTCCCACAGGGATTGAAAAGACAGTATAGCCCTATATATGAATTAGCTTGGGTTGCAGTAGACGATTTGACTTCACATACATCTGCATTCTCGCGGATTGCATCGTCAATCACATCGTGGTCCGCGGTAACTTTTTCCTTGGATGCATACTCGAGGTCTTGAATGCCTGGGTTCATTTGCCGTAGGTAGATATAGCAGAGACCCCGATTGAACAGGACTTCGCATGAGAAGAGGCGGAATTGAAGACCTAATTGTTCATAGTCGATGGAAGTATTCCCTCGGAGATATAGCAGAGTGTCATTAAAATTGGCCAACGCTTCTTCAAAGTCTCCGAGCAAGAAGTTAGATACACCTTGCTGGAAGTATGCGATTGCCAAATACCGGTCTAGGCCGACGGCGCGTTGGTAGCATTCTACCTGGACCAAAATCAATGCGCTATCCAGAAGGACATCTCATGGGTTCACTTACTGCTTTCTGATGCTCGCCTAGGGTTGCATAGATCACTCCGCAGTTGAACAGGATTTTTGAAGTGTCGGCAATCTGATCGAAACACCTTAGGGCCAATTCAAATTCTTGATTGTCGTAGGCATCCAGGGCCTGCACCCATGTTTCGATTTCCTTTTCCAGCCGCAATGTGAGCATGTGTAATGTTCCGCGACACCAGATATACTTACTTGTTTGAGCGACATTGTCCCAGAAGTCAGCCCAGTGTCCAGTGCCTAGATGGTATAGGGAAGTGCTTTTCCGTCCGACACTCTAGGGCATAATACTCAGAGGTCCGCCAGGTGGTCGCCAGCGCGCAGCTGGGAAAGTGTAAGTAATATAGGCGCCAATGACCCAGGTGTAGTCGGTGTGACGAAAAAACCTTAGGAATCGATAAAAGGGGCCAAGAACGGGGGAAGCGGGGAGAATGGAGGTCGAATAATCCCGTCAAAAGCGAATATCCCAAGATCGACGTGCAATGGACGTTGAAATTTATTTATAGAACTTGGTGTCCGATGTGAGAAGTAATTGGTTTAACCTCTCTTTTTTTTGTTAGTGGAGGTGACCCAGCAACTTGGACCCCAGGAGGATATGCTAGGGTTAGCGGGGATAGGGGGAAACAAAAAAAAGAAAGAGAAAAATCAAAAAAAAAGCAAAGAGACCAAATCTCAGAACCTGCAGAGGGGCAGGGGGGAAAAGATGCTAGAAGGGCTACTTTGACCGAGAGAGCAAAGGACAAAAATAAACCCGTGCAGGAATTATGCACCTCTCGTTCAATAGGATCTCTCCAAAAAGGGTTATCATCGTGCCGAGCCTGTGAGTGGACCGATTTTACTTACCAGTAGACTGATATATATATATATATTATATATGTATGTATATTTGTTGAAATCCCATCACACAGTGCGGGGATATTGGTTTAAATTAGGTCTATCGCGTGGGAGAATTGACGATTCATTGGCCCTCGGACCCTGTCACGTCAATTCATTCCCCGCCACGGCGCTTGCAGTGCTTTATTTAGAGTATAGGGCCTGAGAGTATTCCTCGCTACATGTGCCTGGATCTATCTTCGAGTTGATAGTCCATGAACCTAGTCCCTGGGCCCTCTCTCCACGCTATATATATCTATATCATTCACGGCCTTTCCCTTTTCGTTTTAGTGCTCACCATTGAGATTCCAAGGATATTCCAAGGTTGAAATTGAGCTATACGAACTAACCTCGCATCCTATCCAATTGAATCGGACTTGGTATCTGGGCGACCTGTGTCAAGCTAGTATCTGTCCAGCGGTGTACTCGGCTAAGAACGGCTGATCCAACATACGACTGAGTCAGACCACATCGACACCCCAACAATAAGGAATCGTACCAGATCAATTGATGTATATTATCTGCACTCCTTGAACAGTGACATCAACACTATTCACCGGTATATCGATACCAGCCTCTTGAGGTTGCCCAAGTGTTCACTTCCCATGGTTGACCATGGAGACCGGCCCGGTCCGACCACCAGACTAGACGAGAGATCATTGTTCGGCGCAAATAAAAAAAACACATGAAAAAAAAAGCAAACATGATAATCGACGGGTGAAACAAGAAACGAGACAAAGAAGGATTTCGATATCACGGTGTGCTTCAAGTCTATCCCGAAGATTGGCAATCATATTTATATCGACGGCTCAATCCCATGGCTCAAGAAACTAATGCATGCCAGGTTTTAGTATAGCCATGCATCATTGGCCAGAATTTCTCCGTATTCCTGCAGGCAGCACGGCTGCAGTACTTACAGGAAGCAGCCCATCATGTGGGACCCCGGAGCATTCGGTGAGTACAACATACGAGTACGGCGTAGAAATTCTCAGGCTCAATTTGGGTACTTGTGGGGACGACATTGGCAACTTATCGCTGGATCACCCATAATTCATTGAATAAGCAGAGGATGAACCGTGCCACCGAGCCGATTTAGGATGTCTCCACACCTGGTAACCGGTATCATCTTCCTGGATGCTGTCAAGTTACAGGTAATTATGTACTGAAACCAATGATCAAGTTGGGCATATCACAAAAGTCAAGAAGGTGCCTAAGGTGGTGGAACTCGCCAAAACTATTGAGGCGGGACTCTCGATCATGTTAGGGTTAACTCTAGCTTGAACAACCAGGCCGTTATACCATGGGCGATGGCTGACAGCCTTGTTTTGGAATGGTATAACAACTTAACTAGGGATAATCAAAGTAGCTGCCGTTTCGCTGGCGCTGGACACAGGGGGTGGACATCAAGCAATACTTGGCCCCACCTTCCTAAAATGCGTAGGTCTCCATGGACAGGCCCTAAAGTAGCATGTGAAGCTGCTCTTCTGAACACTGAGCGCTATGGGGTTTCGCAACCGAATGTCAGTCTGGCGAGGTGTAGTTGAATCACGTATCTACCGTACACTTCACAAAATCCACAAAGCCCATAACTCAGCCCACCCCAACCCGCAAATGCGCTGGGCTTTGGGCCCTATCTTCGGGCCCGCCGGTAAGCTATGGACTTAGGGTGAAAGCCCGCTGGGCCTTGATGGGGACCCCTTGGGGCCAGGTGGGCCCCCACGAATGGACCATGGGCTGGGTTATGGGCCTGGCATCCGGGGTCATTTGTGGGTTTTGCGGCGCGCTATATCTACCTAATTTGGAACCCCCATCGGAAGGGACTTTTGCCGGGCACAGGTTGTCATTTTCGCATCACAGGAGGATTGCAACATTAGCATGGCACTCATAACTTAGAAATAGCCAGATCGGGCCAATTGATCTCTATCACCAAGGACGGCGAAGAGAGGCCGAGAGAAAAGGGGATAGCCACATTGAATGAAGATGATCATACATATCG